CTACTCAAGTTTTGCAAGATAGTTGTTTGGATACCAAAATATCTTGGGGAAGCCTTTGAATTTTGGTAGAACCTGTTAATTTTTTGTGGAGAGGGTGGGCGGGGAGGAGATTTATTTAAGTACTTGTGAAATTAAGCAATAGGTACGCTACTGAGGCTGTATTTAACTCAGCAAATTACAAATATACACGGTTAACATCTACGGTTTGTAACAAAGGCATTGTAGCCATTTGAGCGCGGTGTATCCTGGCTGGATAGGCGACCGCAGTACAGAGCGTGCGTTTCAGGAAGATCCGTGACTCAAAATACAATGAAGCTCAGTATATGGTGAGCGTATAGACGCCGCTACTTCTATTACTTCTATTGTTCGCGCGAGTGTACGCCTGTCAGATGAGACATTGCTGTTGAGCGTGACTCTGTACACGGCAACCTTAAAGAGCGTACTGAAACAGCCGTACCACCCGTAAAAAGTTGATATGGTAAGCAACTCTGCATTAATCTTGAATAGTGATGAATAATTAATTATGCAAGGGCATAGCCACTTTGTAAGTGAAGGGAGATTCTTTAGAGAGAGAAGACAGAAAATAAAGGGGCGGGATTTCTGATGTTTCTAGAATTCTAGAATTAGAATGGAAGGATGGCCTAGGTATGAGTGCAGATTAACTTTTTTGAAAGTCTATTCGCTTGTATTCGCCTCCTATAGACACAGTCCTATTCAAGAAGATCAAAGTGTTCTTGCTCCCATATATGTGTGTGTGTATCTTTGAAATTCAACTACACATTTGGGCGCTCTCTAAATAGCGGACAAAAGCTGTAGGAATATCTATTTCAAGGCTTAGGGTAAATTTGCACTTCTTTCCATCTTCACTAGTGGAATAGTAGGAGTGCATCCCTAATTATTATGAACGACATTGGTACAGTAACAGCATGAATCCTCTTATTACTTTATGGAAAGTGTCGGATGCAGGCTGTTTCTTCTTCTCTTAGCTCTTCTATGATGTATTGGTGCAAGGGTCTACTCCGTTTTGTAAGAATTATAGTGTATGATTAGAAAAATGGAAGCTAGAGATCGAGACGTATACAGAATTACATATAAGGAATCTATCTGGCTTGGCGGCAGGATGTTCTAGCTGGATTACTGTATGTGTGTGTCCGTATTTTACAGGTGTGCAGAGTATGTAACCTCCATTAAGAATAGTCTTTTTGAATCAATACGCATTGTTTTGTAATTGTTCTACGCGCAATTTTACATGAACATGTGTATAACTCAAACCAAAGAAACGCTCAATCATATATGGTTTAAGCGAGCACCAATGATCCTCAGCATAGCAAGTAGATGATAACTGCAATTCGGTAAGGATTATTATACTAGGGGATGCGGAAGTAGAAAGTGGAAGTCACGAATTAGATGCTTTATTTATAAGAGGAAAGAGCCTTGGCATCAATTACTGGAACTTACGGAATTTCTTTAAAATAGATGGCTGCTCCCTTACGCTGATAGTGATTTACACGCCAATTATCTGAGTAACCTACGAAATTCTTCTAGACACCCGTTTAGCATGTTTAGTTTCCTTTGTCTAAAATGACATCTTTATTTACCAAGTCAACGTATTCAGGGTCCTAAGCGAAGATATGAAAATTTTAATTCTAACCCCTTTTTATTCCGACGTATGAATTTCAAAATATGAACTCACAACTCACACTAGGTATTAGTATTATTTATCTTCACTGAGATTCTATTCCTCAAAACTTTGAAAGAGTTCTAAGTATAAGGTCGTATTGTTTTTATGGAGGGGCGACTCTCGTCAATGGCTAGATGTGATCCTGTAAACTATATACTATGTAGGTGCCTTATATTTTAGGCTTCAAATAGCCTACTGACGTCTTCAACAAAAGGGCTTTCCGCCTTTTAATAGTCGAACTCGTCTTCGTTGCATATTAAACTGCGCCAAAATTCTGCGTGATAGATGGCACCATAGGATTTAGCAAAACTTTTGACCAGTCACTCACACAAGATCAGCTTTCTCACAATCAAATAATTTCTAGTAAAGATCAAGCTGCGCAAAAAAATCCGCAACCCGCAACCCGCAGATATCCATGGATAATCCGCTTCGCATATTACCCATTAGAGTTATATCCTGCCCCACGGATTATCCATTCGGGTTTTAAATAATCCGTTCCAGTGATTTGCGGGTTTATTTGCAGATATTCCGCTCCTCGGACAACCCATTCAGATTTTTCATCATCCGCGGATTATCCACCAGAACGAGAATCCGCCCCACGGGGGCCCGTTACGCAGCCTAGTACTAAAGACTAGATGCTTCTAATATTATAGATATAGAGTCTGGCCCTTCTGAACCAATGACTTCAGTTACTAATTCTAAGACGGTCTATGCATGTATAAAGATATCACACATTGCGATAGGGAGCTAGCGGTAGATAAATCAAGCTGAATGTAGGCTTCATTGATGAGATAAAGGCTGATGGGGAAAGGTTTACACTCTTCCCGTTTTTGTGAAATTAGTATCGAGCATGACTGAGGTAGGATATTTCACGCGGTCCTGAATCGTTCCTCCCCTAGCTTTTTGATGGGCACTATGTGTAGACTTTATTTGATCTTCCCAATTGAAAGTTTAAAATGCTTGAGTCCATGAAAAGATGCCCTTCTTCATTGGCTCCATCTCATAGTAGTGCAACTGATACAATCAATCGAGTTAGGGAACATGGACTCATGGAACTAAATTTATTATCACCCATATGATTAAGACCAAACCATGAATAAAACATCGATTTAATTGTAAAGTATATGTATATTATGCTTACATGGCGCCCCTATACTGTTACGACGGGCTACACAACTACCAAGACACGTGATCACAAACGATCAGTAGTGATCATTAAGGATCACTAAGGATCACGATATAGGTGATCACTGGTGATCATGAAGGATCACCAGTGATCATAGAAGCATGAAGGACTATATAATCAAGATGGATTTCCTTTGTATAGAGCTTCGTGCTCAAGATCAATCATTTAGTATACTCTACTATTAGTTATGAATTGCATCATTGTCATTACTTAAGTCCCTGCTTGACGCCTAGTTATAAACCACTTCGAGAGCCTAGAGCACTTCCACGTGATCTAGACGGCAAACCTCGTAACATATACTGAAAGTTTATCAATTTATTTAATTATTATGATTCATAATAAAATATACTCTTTTAATTCAATGATAACTAATATATATATTTATACTTTTTACTTAATTAATCAAAATATTTAAAATAATAATTTTAAATATAATTTTAATAATAGTTTTTGTTAAAGTGAATGGTTCCTGCGTAGCACGTGCATAGGGCACTAGTCCTATTAGGGCTAGATTGAGAAGCTCTCTGTAGGAGAGCTTCGCACTTCCGTAGAACTTAGAAGAGTGATTAATCTACTAGACCAATATTACCTCAGTTCTGCTCTATCAGCTTCCCACTATTCCCTGTGTAAGGTCATTCCTTTTAACAAAATCTATATTTTCTTTCGATTAATAAAATTATTTAAAATAACAATCTTCAATTATAGAATCATATAAAGCAGGGAAATAATAATTCTCTCGAGAATAATGAGTATATTAGAGTATATTTTTAATCTATTGAAGGAAACAGAAGGTGAAGAGGGATCGGGCGGTTGGAAGCGAATGAGAATCATCTATACAAGTAGGAAGGACACCAAGTAATTACATCATAAAAGAATGAAAACAAGGCTGTAGATTTAGGAGTTCTTCCGTATTCAATAAAAATCACTAAAAGAATCCAGGTCAACTAACTCCCAGATTTTTGACACAAAAAGACTTCAAGCACAATCAATACCATCTTACCATCTTACCATTTCCTAAAATTTCCATAAAATCCCAAAAAGAAAATTCCACATCCACAGAATACATCACACTCTTCCCAAACATATTTGCACAATTTTTACAATTCAAGAACTATTTCCATCATCACAAGCACGAAATAAACTACGCAATGATCAGGTACCGAGACGAGGAATGGATTGGAGAACTTGCCCTGGTATGATTTTGATTCTGGATGATTTGGGATGAGTGATGGGTACGCTTTGCAATTGTATCTAGACGAACCAGAAATGTCTTTTCTCGGGAAGGTTTAGGGATATGACGGGGAGCGAGTACTCGTGGAATTCTCCGCGAAGGAATGGGATGGAGACATAGATAAATGGTTGGGGAGGTAGCCGGGGATTTGAAGCGGGAACGGGGAGCAGCGAGGAGAAGTGTAGGGATGAGTTCTAGAGGTCACTGATGTAGTAGCCGAAGGGATGTTAAAGCTAGATTATATCATTGTTCATGAAGCTATATCCTGGAACGTGTCATATCCTTGTTATACAGATGCTCAATGTAAATGTGGTATCAACCCAAACGCCATCGCTAAAACAATATTTCACAAGTTCTTTTCAGTGATTTATGCACTGAAAGAGGAGATGTAGTACTAGGAAACGTTAGAATGTAAATTTTGATGAATATTATGGGCCATACCGTTAGAACAGACTCGTCACCTTCATCATAGTTGTCAAGGTATACATATAGTATCAAGGCATGATCATTCACGAAACCTAAAATCATCAGTATGAATCATCAAGCTAGGAACGTGAAATACTCACAAGCAATTACTCTTCCACCAAGTCTTCCCACACTAAGTACCTTTCCCCAATCTCTTCCATCTATTCTAACGGTTGACCAAGCATCTGGGCCGGCAGCTTTAAGTCTCGTTGTTGGATGGTTTTCAATTTCGTCTTCTCCATCCTCCAATTGCCTTGGATCCAATTCCGGATTATTGAGACCTGTCCATACACTTGAGATATTCAGTGCATCCGTAACAATACTCAATCTCAAACTACCATGCATATTTGCGCTCAACTCCAACTTTGGTATATTTCCTCCACTGACTGCTCTTGTCCCACCAGATGCCGTGGCCATTGCAAGCTTCGTGAAACGTTCCGAGATAGCTTTCAACTGTATCAGAGAAGGCAGCATAATATGCGCATCCGGATCTCTAACCCTTGGCTCATGTATTCCTTCTACACTATCTGCCGTCAAAATACGTATCGGAATATCTTGGGTGACGATAGCTTCTCTGTCTCTTCTCAAACTCGCCTCGAGACTTTCTTCACGGAACCCTTCGTTGAATGGATCTGCTGCTCCACCTTCACCACCAAGAAAGTTTGCACTTTTTCCATGCGTCATAGTATTTGTAATAACTGTGAGAGATAAAACTGGCATTCCATCTCTTTTAGTGAGTCGTATTGAAGCAGATGACGCATTTATTGCGGATTTTAAAGCGCGATGGAGGGGCGGGAGGGGTAATTCTACGTTGATCGTGTTATCTGGAGCGGCGGATTGAATTGTGTAATCTTCAAATATCGAGTCAATAGAGAGAGACCTTTACTGGATTAGCATTTCAATTCAAAGTGTAATAATGCATTACTTACGCCCATACTTGAGTTCCTGTCTCAGGAATAATTGTGAATCGTACTCCATTGTCGTCCAGGCGTACCCAAGCTACTTTGCCAAGTGATGACAATGAAGCTGTGAGTTCTGAAAGTTTGTAAGTTGTGAGACCATTTTAATAGAGAGCCAAAAAATGATACTCACTGCTGAAAGTCTGAATATTCCGGACAGAAGTCTTAAAACGCATTTCGAATATTTGAAGCTGTTGCCTGCAACTTTTTGGAAGCTTAAAGTTTGAAGCTTGGAGCTTCGATAAGGATAAGGATAAGAATTCTGCTTATTAATCAACTCGACGACATCCCTCATTTACAAGATACATTTTGCAATCATCTTCATCTCACAAGTACAAGAGTTGAAATCAGGATCACCAACTTACAAAAAGCATTTTATTAGTCTCGTGGGACTAGCTGCAACCAAATCGTCCTTAATAGTCAAGAATAACTATTATCTGGCGAATGACAGAGTAAACAGTTGATGCTGAAATCAAACTGTCAAGACTCTCGCTATCTTACTGTCCGAATACCATCTCCCCTTTGCCATTACACTGTTCGGAGAAAGAGATCGAGTTAAAGACAAGAGTTAAACTGACTACAAGATTTATTGACTAAACATTCAAGTAATCTCTGTCCACAATCCCATCATAACCATATTAAAAAAAAACCTAATACCCTCGTATTATCAAAACACGTCACTCCCTATTTCTCAACTCTCCTTACATGTTTGTGTCCTTGTTTGTCTTCACGTCTCTCGCCGATCACATTTGTCCATCTTCGGACCTAGATTCTACCCGGATACGAATGTTCTGACAAGGACTAGCGATACCAGGGGATGACGATCTGCTTCCGTCTGGAACAAATTGTCTGGATTCAAACCAACGACGACCGGAATTGGCGAGTGGAGTTGAAGTACGTGAGACTAAACCCAATGATGGGATGGATTTTCCTGGGTTTGAATATCCAGCATATTTGAGCTCATGAGAGGATGCATTTCTTGTCATAGGGCCACCAACCGCACTCGGATTCGAGAATGATAAACCAGGAGAGCTTCTGGCTGTAAGCGCGTCCATATTTGCATTGCGTGGTGAGGCTGACCGTGGAGAGAATACACTGGCGCTTGGCGAACTTCTTGGCTCTGCAATTGCAAATCCAGAATTACCCGTCGCCAAACGACGTAAATCTGTACCTGATCCTGATGTTGTACGAGCATGTGTCAAAGGGGCGAATGTCATGTGTGGATCAGTTGCGTGACGACGAGGGCGCATCAGTGGAGAACCTTCACTCGTCGTAGTTCTCATGGGAGAACGGCCAACAGAAGGTCCGAATGGCGTTGGGGGATACACGTTTGCGCGCAATTGCCCCTCATGCCCATCCGAGGAGCTGATGTATGTTTGGCTGCCTGGAGTAGCGGGAGGTAAAACTACTCGAGGACGTGGATTAGTCGCGTCACGACCATTATCTGATCTCATCGAAACATCAACCCCAATATCATGACCAGGTACGAAATAAGGAGAATGGCCACCGACATGGCTTTCCATTTCTAGTTCCGGCGAGTAAACCACGCCACTGCTTGTGTAGTCATGTAATGGAACTCTTCTCTGCATCGATTGGTAAAGATCGGAGGATCCATATCGGTTTCCTTCTATAGGAACTGGATGAACATATGAATTGATAGGCCCGTTATAGGACATAAATACGACGTTAGATGGTAGGATTAGAGGATACGCCTCTTCGAGCCCAGGATAGATTGGTGCTTGTTGTCCATGGGTCGGCGTAAGGTGTGGAAACTCCTTCCCATTTGGTCCCAAGTACGTATGATCATCCTTGTGGTAAGGTTTGTAACTGGAATATTGACTCCCATCTTCATCGTAGCCGGGATAACTGCGATCGGCTTCTTCTTGGTAGCCATCTTGGATCTCCCGAGGTGCAGGTTGGCCCCACCAGCGTTCCTCATCACAATCATCCTCCCGATGCTGGTGATTACCATTTTGTGCGCTGCTAGTATTGTGATGGTTGCCACCACTCGCGAAATTTCTTCCACCGCGTGCGCTTTCACGTACATTTCCACGGCCATCACCACGTCCCTCGCCGCGTCCCTGTCCACGTCCAAAGTGCATGTCACGTCTTCCACGACGGTTTAGATGTTGGGTATATCCCCCACGCTCACCATAATGTTGGTTGCTTCGGCCGTTTTGTCGATCACTGCCTCGGTACGAATTGCCACCACGTCCTTGGTTTTGGCCTTGATTTGGTACTAGGACACCAAATCTGGTATCCGATGACAGACCAGGATGGGCCTCGCCAATAATGTCGGATTTATTGGTGGTGGAGTACATCGATGCCGTATTCGAGACATTGGCATAGTAACTCGGTACTTGAGTATATGTGTCACCGTTCGTGTAAACATGTTGATGAATCTCTCCTGTGTATGGAATGGTCCTAAAGCCCTTGAAGACATCGACCTCATCACCAACTTGATCATTGTGGCGGATTCGAACTGATTGGATATCCTTGATGGTAGTATCTATAAGAAGTACTTGCTGATAAAAGGGTTTGGTTGCATCAAATTCGTCAACTAAGTCCTAAAAGATTATTAGCTAATGTGCAAAATTCATAAAAGGAAGGTACGTACCCAAGGGCCAAATTCCAAGCAAGTTCCATTGTTATGAGTAATGAGGGATTGCGTGTCCTTACATCCAATCCTAGTATATTGCTATAATCTTGTTATTGTTTGAATTTGCACTCTGGCTTTGAAGTTACTTACCTGAGCTCTTCCTTCAGAGGGAGTAGCAGGGCGTCCTTGTACCAACAGACCCCATGAGTGGTGTTGGCGTTCCTCAACAATTGGCTTGACAGTAGTCATAGCTACGAAGGATAGGTATGATTGAGGATTTGAATGGATTATTATTTAATGGATCTGTTCGAGGGCCCTTTTTTGAGGGCCAAGTGAAGTAAATAATTATCCTTTGTGCTAGTCCGGTTTAGTGACCTATTGATTCGATGTAATTGATCTAATTAACAAAGTAATGAGAATAACTGATATTCATCATTAAACTCACGATTATGTCAGAGAAGCAGTGAATGCTGTAGTATGAATTAGAAATTCTTTTTGTGGCACCCAAGTGAGCAGATAGAAATTGAATCTTGTTGTGATCGTATTGTGTTCAAGCTGTGAAAACTCATTGCCTATTAGTCAATGCTCAACAAGAAATTTGGTTGGTAGCAACATTTTTGAAGATATTGATAAGACATTCGAAGATCTTGCAGTATCTTAAACGTATGGAAAAGGACGAAGGAGAAGAACTTGGACATACAAAAAAGTAAACGAAGCCACTATTGATTAATTGATTTGTCTTCTTTGCTGTAAGTTAATGTTTGTCAGTCAATGTCGAAGCGAGATGGAAATGGATTACTCCAATCTTGAAAGTGTCTGGGTTAAAAAATCCAATTTCTTGAAATGTTTTGTGCTTCAAGAGACTGTCAAGTAAAAAGAGGACAGTACTTACAAGGTCGAGCAACGAGCAACGAGCGATGGATAGAGAGCAATTTGAAAGCAAAATAGTAGCAAATTGAAAGGTTTCCGCTGGTTTCTTAAAATGGGTATTAGCCAAGGTCTCATTCAAATACTGTTGAAGTTGTCTGGACAAGATACTCCAAGGCAATGAAAGGTTTGAGCTTCAAGGATGGACAAGAGAGGATGTTAACACCTACAAGAAAAAGTAGAGAGAGGCTGTATTAGGTACTATTCATTTCCAATGCCATGTGCAGGGCAAGAGGCAAACAGAAAAAATTCTCAATATGTTAGAGGTTGGAAAGTATTACAAGTTTGAGGTTTTCTTGTTGAAAAAAAACTTGCAGAAAGCGAAAAAAAAATAAAATGAAATAGGTAACTCCTTTGCGTACCCAGAAAAGAATTGAGATTAAAGAAACATGGCAAAAAACTGGTCAGAACTACAGATAATAGCTCCTGGAAAAGAAGGCGGTGATGGTTTTGCTAGGTTGTGCGAATATTGTTATTATTGTTGTTGTTGTGGTGAGGAAGAAGATGAAACGTTCTCGGGAAATTATGAACGGGGAAGTTGTGGAGCCAAGAGATTGACTATGTCATGTTATTTGTCGGGCTCTATTAGATGAGTATCAACAAGCCGAAATTAGATGATTGGATAATAGATACGGCTGGGAGATTATAGACAAGGCTGGCCTTGAACTTGATCATGAAATATTTTGAGAGGACTAGGCTTAGAAAAGATGAGGATGGGAGGAGAATCAAAGAGTTACTATTGACACAATACCACCATATAGATGCTAGAAATGGTAGGTTTGGAGGAGTTACACCTATTAAAGTTAGGAAAATCTATTACCACTACGAAGATCTTAGGGCTGTTTTCCAATCCCGTACTGAGCTCCAAAGTAAGGTCATCATAGCTCTGCAGGAGAAAACTCAACGTCAGCTCACCTCAGGGGAAACAGCCTCGCTTATCAGATTCTGTGATCAACAACCTCGAATGAAATCAAGTCCTCCATGATTTCCTCGACTCGCAAAGATGTTCAGGAAGGATTCGATGATGATCCTGTGTTCGTGGTTGATATCCCGAGTTTCTCAGATGTTTAAGAGACTGTGATAGAACGGATTGATGGGTTGCAGGCTCCTAGTATCTTGTTAGAGTTGTGGACGGTATTTCTGTGGCTCGAGAGGTAGATGAGTCGGCAAATAGGAATGCGACAGCCTTATCATTCAGTGTATAGCATTAGGCCCTCTCCTACTTTTATTTAAGCCCAAAGTCCCAGGAATAATCTTGACTTCTTACTCGAGGTTTTAAAGGCGTAAGGACAGTGGAGAAACAGAATGGAGGGGCTATTTTATAGCTAGGCACTAGATAACTTTTTCTTGGTGGGGAAAGGGATGAAGTGACCCAGTATCGGGACGTAAATCGCACACATCTGTGTGCTATGCGCAGCCTAGCCTCGATTCAGTGAATAAATTCACCGGAAAATAGTGAAAATAAGGGTTAGTTTCATGGCCGAGGTAGTTTTAGTGACGAGATGAATGCTTGAAATTTGAGCCAAGATGGTTCATTATCAGGGTCTTTGGCTATTATGAGCAGGATGAGTGTGCTCAATACTTGCAATAGAAGGGCTAAATTATACGACTATGAGCGACATTAATATGGTGCATATTCAAGTAAAGAAGGGTGGTTATACCCGGATAAGAGAAATCAAGGCGGAAAAGTGGTATCGACAGCTGGATAGGAGAGAACCCCTCTCAGGAGTATGAATATTAACAGAATATACTCCTGACTTCGATGTTGAGACAGAGGAGTATGAAATCGATACTATAAGCAAATTGAAGTAGCAATTATGAAACTATTTATGGGAGTAAAGTAGTTGGTTACTCTTAAGATAAAATGAATAAGACTGTAAATTACAGGGGGGAGGATATTTAAGCGAGACAACAATCATAATACACCGTAGCATATACATTCGGTCGAAATCATGTCAAAGTGTACTTTGCAAGCAGGTGAATACATCTCAGTTAGAGGGACGAAATAAAAGATGACGAGTGATAGAAAGAGAAAATAGTAATTGATAGCCACAGGACGCGATCCAGCAGTGCTTAGAACACTACCCCTCCGTCTGATTCAAAGAATGGTAATCTGGACTAATAAGTCTAATACCCTACTTTCTGGCCACCCCTAATTCCGGCCACCTTTTTACACCAAAAATCGTAATTTTCACGTATTAATAACTTTACAATTAATATATATAATGTTACGACGGCGTAACATAACCCGCATCAGGTAACCAATTACTTAGCAGGATCATGTGACGAGTGTCACCTGATCCGAAAGCCGACCGACTTCGTGAGAATCGATCGTCCCTGAGAATCGATCGGCCCTTCAAGAGTCGATTGACTTGCAGAACACGAAGGTCTATATAGTCAAGATGGATTTCCTTTGTATAGAGCTTCGTGCTCAAGGTCAATCATTTAGTATACTCTACTATTAGTTACGAATTGCATATCATTATTGTCATTACTTAAGTCCCTGCTTGACGCCTAGTTATAAACCACCTCGAGAGCCTAGAGCACTTCCACGTGATCTAGAAGGCAAACCTCGTAACACTATCTATCTACCTACCCCTACTCACACAACTTCATCCCCATCCCAACACATGACCTCCCCATCCCCCAAATCTCCAAACCCCCCACGTGACACCCCACCCCACCCTTCCCTTTCTCATCCACATCCATCCCCTCATTCTTATACCCCATCTATCCTAATGACCATCCTCTAACCATCTAGCTACCTAGTATCTAATATCTACCTAGTATGTGTAACACACCTCTTCCTCAAACCACTGCACTACCTGCATGCCTGCATGCGTACATAAACCCGAATAAAAAAAAAACGCATCACATCATCCGCTTAATCATCCGCAGACCACCATCTCAGCTGGTATCAGGTCATCATACCGATTTTTAACACATTCACATATACATAGAGAGGGAGGGAGGGGGAGAGAGAGTCAGATTGCATTTTATAAATTACCTACCTACCTACCTAGGTATTATATGCATGCATGTATGTAGGTAGGTAGGTAGGTAGGTAGGTAGGTACTAGGGATAAAATGTTATATGTATTACACAGGTAAACTAAAATCAAGTTTATGTACCTACCTACCTAGCTAGGTATGCAAGAATGTCTGGTGCGGTGTCAGGATGACTGTGTTTTTCTCGTGAAGGAGTATTTTTAAAAGTCGGAATGGACGGATGATCTACTGGTTGGTTTTGTTTGTTCTATATGTATATGAAGAGGATGGATGGATGTATGAGTAATTTTTGTTTTGTTGAGTGGACAGATGAAATCTTCTATGTTTATTCATTTCCTATCATTGTCTTCCTCGCGCATCTTTTTCTTTATGGGTGTTCCATTTATCAAGATGTGCTCAACAAAGTCGCAGTCAATCATATCGTCATCGTCAGCTTCTGATTCAGATTCGGCGGAAATTCCTTCACAGCGTTGTACAATATGTAATGAAGATATTGGTTCTTCTCGTGGCGATGGAGAAGTCGAAATCGCATTTGTTCTTCCTTGTTCACATGTCTTCGGCTCTGCATGTATTTTGCGGTGGCTAGAAACAGATTCTCCACATCAAAATTGCCCACAATGTCGAAGAAAAATGGTCTATACCGAATGTGGACATTTGATAAGACCATGTGAGGTGACAAGTGCTCCGAAGTGTGTGAAGGTGGCAGATATGCCAAAAAGGTGTTTAGCGTGTAGAGGTCCAGAGGGTGAACTTAAGACTGAGGTGGAGATGTTATTAAAGCGGGCCGAGGCGGAGCAAAGAGCTTTGAGAGCGATGAAGCTGCATTTTCCAGGCGTTTGGGGTGAGATGTGTAGAGAGACCGTGCGGACTGTGGGGAATAGAGTGGAGGAGTCAAAGGAAGTGTTGAAGCGAGATATTGAACGGCTCTGCCGGAAATATGAGGAGAGTGGAAATAGGGAGCAATGGTGATTTATTCCTGCGAATGGTGCGATATATGGGATATGTTGGATACATCTCGAGGTTGGAATCATGAATCAATTGATCGATTCTGTGCGTGGTGCGATGAATATTTACATCCCGGATGAGCCGAAAGGAGGAACAGTCGCAATCGATACCCGCGAACGAAAACATTCGACAATGTTAAATATCCCGGATCAGTCATTCTCTTTCCATATCACCGGCGGCGGTTTTTTGGTTGGAAGGTAATCGTTATTTGCAGTGCGAGAATGTTGCGAGAATCTCCGTTTTCAACACGTTGATTAATAGAATAGACATTAATTGTAGAGAAATAGAAGCTCATCAGACCCATCTTCCGTATTTGTATCATCGCGTTATCACTCCACTCAAGCGTCTATCCGTTCTATCGTCTTCATCACTACTGTCGTCCTTAAACCCTTCTTCTAAATCTCGACTTAATCTTCCACCATCTTCATGTCTGCCTCTTCGTGCATCAAGCGATAATGCTTCTCGTCGATTATCATCCACATCGAAAAGTTCCTCGCCATCCTCATCATCAAAATCAACACTATCCTGTGCGCTTATTCGATTTCGATTGAAGTCCGCTCTCCATGAATTTGGAAATATTGATCTAACCACTGCAGCTTGTGCTCGTTGTCGTAAACCTGTAGTTCGCGTTGAGATAGTATCTAATGGGAGGTATTGACCAGCTCGCGCTCGATAACGTTTCCATACTGGAACGATGACGAATGATATCAGGAGGTAAAGAATAAGTGAAATGATTGCTGGTACCAATAAGGTCTGCGAAAACAAATGTTAGCTTTGGTTAGTCGAGAAGGAAGTCCGAGGTAATTCATCAATAACCTTTAGTAATGACCATGTGGAAACCATGGTTGAAGTTGTAGGAGTATCTTCGTTTCCAGCAGAATTAGGTGCAGGATGGGGTATATATGGGACTGATGCTCCCCCGTTTAAGGCTGCACGAGATTGCCACGCGTTCGTCATAGGATGGCACAATGTGAGTATTTCGGTAGCGTTACCGTTACCTAGAAAGTCGATGCGGAATGGGAAAAGTGATGAGGTTGGAAGATTCTCCCGTAAAGAGAGAGTTACCGATACTAAACCCTACCGAAATTGAAGTAAGGTCCAATACGGGAATGGGTAGAAATAAATCATCCACAATTGGTCAATAAATGAACGGATAATTAAGGTTACGATCCGTTAGCTCTCCTTTCTTTTCCATTGGCAGTGAGTGTTATGGGAATGTAAGATACGTTCGGCGGTTACAGGCCGTTTCAACATTTGACAGTGACAAATCAAGATCTTTGGTTAGAAATGTATGGGTAAAACGACGGATGGATGACTGATGTGTATGTTAGATGTTAGGCTCATTGTGCTATTATTAGGCTACATGGTAAAGTACCTGGGTCGTAATAAGCAGTCTGAGTTCCTGTTCTTTGATTGAGTGGTTCTATTAAAAATGGCATTTCATTTGGTACCCACCAAAATCCGATACTAGTACTCTGTATCTAGATCATAACATTCTTCAATGTCTCAAACGGAATTTTATAATGAAGTAGGTGTCTTTGAGGTCAGAAGTCTCATGTAAATTTTCAATGAATTAATTCCTTGTTATTCTCCTCTTTCAGATGTGCGATTTATCTTTATCTTAATCTGGGTGAGATAGTAAAGAGTGGTGTAGTATAATACACACACCGGATCGGAGTAGGTGCACTATCCTTATCGGATTCTTTTCTTCATTGAGGATTTGCCTATCAATACCTAGGTATCTGAACCAAGTCCGATCTTCCGAGCCAGCCCAGCCAGCCCAGCCAGCCCGGCCAGCCCAAAGCCCACCATCAAAAGACACAAAGTACTCCATAGGTCCATACGACAAGAAAATCAATTAATAGGTCAGAACATTCACACCCACCCGTTCAGTCAAGTTCCCCATCCAACCTATCTGACTCCTCCTACACCCTAAAGCTCTTTTGTTTAAGGGGTTTTATTTTAGTACATACACCTATACTCACGTACTCACATACTCACATACATACTGTCAGCTTCTTTCAACTTCTTACCTTTCTTGTTTATTCGGATGTTAGATTTTTAATCTAATAATTTAAACCATACTCAACACTCATTTGCTTTCTCTTCATTCCCTTTGCCGTCGCTTTTCTTTCTTCCCTTTTCTCTCTTTTTTTTTTCCTTCTCTCTTTTTGGCGACTGTCGTTGTTGTTATTGTCGTTGTTGATACCCCAATTTCAATCACACAGTGCTCCACAGCTAAATCGCACAGGATTCTTTTCCTTGAAATACTGGCTTCTATCGGCATCCATTCATACAGTGGTCTGTGGGTCAAGGGCAAAGTGTTTGATGTACTCGCAGCAACACCGAGTGAGGAAGTAGTTTCAGCCTTTCGAAACGATCGTTGAGGTTCGACCAGGGGCGAATAGAGTTTTGCGACAGGAGTGTGGGCAGTTGTTGGGTTCTCCAGTTTGTTTCTGCTGGATTTACAGATTCAGTTACACCTTGACTTCAAAAGTGGTGCCGAAGAAATCCATATTTCCACTGGTAAGTGCGTCCAATTTTTTGCCATCTCAAAGCTTCCTCTTGTACATGCACTATGGGTCGTACGTACACTGGGGAAGTGAACCTGCCAGTGTCGCAGAATTCAGTACACACTCATGCTAATCATTCCTTTCCGTAGTGCGACCGAGTTTGGGATCTGCCAGGGTAATACTAATATTGGATCGACTCCTCTCGAACTGGACCTACTCTCGCAGTGGATCGACTTCTCCAACAATTGGCAAAGAACATGATGTGAATGTTCACAATACCTAGGGACATTGATGATCAAAACAAGACTTTGCAGTATTGGGACGGATAGAAGACAGCGCGACGAAAGTGCGAACAACGACAATCAATCATGTCATCTTCTGGCAAATCCTCCTTCTTTTCGAGGAATAGGAAGGATAAAAGAAATGCCAGTGACGAAGGACGACAACTTTCTTCTGCAGGTACAGGAAACAACGATGCAGCAAGTGGCAGAGGGTCGACGTCTTCAAGACATGCTAGAATGTCCTCTGTTGCCTCGGAAGATACTCCTGGATCGCCTGGTGCAGACTTGACGGGGATTAATATGATGGCGGGTGTAATTACTTCAATTCCATACGACAGTGTAATGGCGGATGGTAGATCACCAATACCAGTGGATTATCTACCCAGGAGCGATCAGATGCCATTAAGAAGGGAACCACTCCCACATCATTTGAATATGAATGGAATGGATTTTCATCAGTACCCCGCTTCAGACACAGCATCTATTAATGGCAGTTCACATCCCACAGGCCCGCGAGCTCCACCGGTGGGAAATGTAACAATGGCATCAACTGGAAATCGTACAGCTCAGTTACAGCAGTGGGGCCCCAATAGGACCAGTATTGCAAGCACGGTAAATGGAAGTCACAATTCAAGATACGATTCCTATTCTACAAATCAATCCTCGAATTATGGCGGTCGCGTATCCTTCGATCAACAAAGTGTGGATTCGATGACGGAAAGATCCAGCGTTCTTTCATCAGGGAGCTCCTCAAAAACAGCTTTACCAGGTTCCTATTCGAATAGTTCGTTATCGCCGTCATATCAACCAGGTGCCGGGAAAGACACTCCACGTCTGACAAAATTACCTCAACATCTTAGCACAGGATATAGTTCGCCAACGGTCGCTTCGCCGGATGGATTTAAACTCAACAAACCAAACGATGACAGGGTTATTGAAGAGCAATTCTTATCATTGATGCAGAAACGAGGATGGCACAATTTACCAGATCAAGCGCGCCGGCAAATGATGGCATACACACCCGCGAAGAAATGGACTCTGGTACATCAAGATCGCTTAACCGAATGGCAAGGAGAACAAAAGAGACGAACGAACGCCAAGCACACGGGTCAATATGGTTCTGCTATGGAAATGCTCCTCAATGCGGAGGAGGAAGGAACTCCAGAATGGTTTGTAAGGAAAGTCATGGATAATAGCATCTCGGCAAAGCAATTACAGAGTCTCGCAGTAAGCCTTCGGACGCAACCAATTGGATGGGTGAAAACCTTTGTGGAATGTCAGGGTCAGGTTGCTTTAACTAATGTACTCGGAAAAATTAACCGGCGACAAGCTCAGGGACCAACTGGGCCAGAAGGGTCAATTAGTGACAAGGATCTGGATAGGGAATATGATATCTGCAAGTGTCTGAAGGCTTTGATGAACAACAAATTCGGTGCCGACGATGCTTTACAACATCAACAAGTCATTGTGGCTTTGGCCACATCCCTGGTATCTCCCAGGATCCCAACGAGAAGGGTTGCCAGTGAAGTTTTGACTTTCTTGTGTCATTGGGCAGATGGGCAGGGTCATTTGAAGGTCGTTCAGGCCATGGACTATGTGAAAAATCAACAGGGTGAAAATGGACGTTTCGATGCATGGATGCGTGTTGTTGAAGTCACAGTTGATGGGCGAGGAAAGATGGGAAGTCTTGTGGGTGCTAGCGAGGAGGTTAGAAGTGGTGGTGCGGGCATGGAGAATCTACTCATGGAATATGCTTTGACGACTATGTTCTTGATTAACATGATCGTTGATGCTCCCGAGAGGGATTTACAGCTTCGTGTTCACATTCGAGCTCAGTTTACAGCATGCGGTATCAAGCGGATTCTTACGAAGATGGAAGGTTTCCAATACGATGTCCTCGACAAGCAAATTGAAAGATTTCGTACAAATGAGGCGATTGATTATGAGGATCTTCTCGAGCGTGAGAATAGTAGCATAAAGGATAGTATTGAAGGGGATATCAAAGATCTCACTGACCCGACTCAAATTGTCGATGCTATTATGCAAAAGGTTCAAGGAAGTAGAACTCAAGATTACTTCGTCTCTGCATTGCAACATCTTCTCCTCATCAGAGATAGCGACAGTGAGGAACGACTAAGAATGTTTCAACTCGTGGATTCTATGCTTAGTTATGTCGCTATGGATAGGAGGCTTCCTGACATGGACCTAAAGCAGAGTCTCAATTTCACGGTACAGAGTCTTTTGGATAAATTACACACAGATTCTGAAGCACGACAAGCACTCGATGAAGCTCTTGAAGCTCGCCAGATTGCCGATTCAGCAATGGCTGAAAGGGATGAAATGAGAGCTAGAATTGAACTTGGTGCGGATGGACTTGTGGGGAAATTGCAAAAACAATTAGATGAACAAGCACAAATCATAGAGGTCCAGCGAAGACAAATAGATGCACTGAAGGGTGAGATGGAAAATATTCAAACGGTTCGTGCTAAAGAAGCTCAAAGGAATGAGCTTGAAACCAGAGAATTGTACCTCATGCTCCGCGATGCACAAGATATTGCCGCATCCAATGCTTCGAAGGGTGGGGCTGGATTGGGCGAGACTGATCCTTCACATATGAAAGGTATTTTGGATCGCGAACGACTTATGGATCGTCTCGAAATGCAAATTGAGAGACAAAAGACCCAGTATAAGCTTGAAGGTAGAGTATGGGGTGATGCAGCCGGTCCTTCTGATCGATTGAGAGCACTTCGTGAGGAAATGGACGGTGTAGATCGTAGGTCGGGTGGAGGTCTCGGAGTTCCACCTGGAGATTACAGTCACGGCATCCTTGGAAACGTAACGAGGTCGACTAAGATACCTAGAAAACCAATTGGCGCTGAAGGTTTCTCTGAAGGCTCTGACATGGAAGACGAAGACGGCATGGTTTATGAAAAGCCTCGTGTTGTCAAGCTAAGAAGACCCAAGCAATCCAAGGGCTACTTAGACGAGACCACCATCGCAAAGTCAAACGTTACGATGCTAGCGATGATGATGATGATGATGATGATGAGAGATGATGATACGACGGACTTCACACCAAGTTCGAGTCGGCCACAAAACTCACGTGATGAGAATCTTCAAAGGTCGATGACCAAAGTCCCGGGATTCAATGGACCCCTCCACTCACACCTCCACTATGCCGAGACAAGGTCTCCAGGATTCAATGAGCCAGCTCCTCCACCTCCTCCACCCCCTCCTCCAGGTATGAATGCACCAGTTGCCCCCGGATTTGGTGGGCCTCCACCTCCTCCACCCCCTCCACCACCCCCTGGTATGCCTGGTATGCCTCCACCGCCACCTCCCCCGCCGCCGCCTCCTGGAATGCCTGGCAAGATGAGTGGACACTTCTTAGCACAACCATCTTACAATGCTGCACCAACGCTTGGTATGGGTTTTGCGAGATCGAAGAAGAAGCTCAAGGTTATTCATTGGGAGAAGGTCGATACTCCTATGACAACGCATTGGGCTGCTCACACACCTACAGCAGCAGAAAAGGAAGCGAAGTATGCAGAACTTACTCGCAAGGGTGTTCTTGATGAAGTTGAAAAGTTGTTCTTGGCAAAGGAAATTAAACAAATCGGAAAGAGCAACAAGGCCAAGCCAGACAAGAAACAGATCATTTCAAATGAACTTTCGAAAACATTCCGTGAGTCCAATGCAATATTCACAAAAGTGACAGCAAAGCTAACGTACCATAGAAATTTGCCTCTCGAAGTTCTCCTCATTAAGTCCGGATAGAATTGCACAAATGATTATTCATTGTGACAAAGACGTCTTGGACAATCCTGTGGTGATGGAGTTCTTGATAAGAGACGACATGTGCAATATCCCTGAAAATACTGCCAAGCTTATGGCGCCGTATAGCAAAGACTGGACTGGACCTGATGCAAATAAGGAGAACCGAGAATCAGACCCGAGCGAATTAACTCGGGAAGATCAAATCTATCTACAGACAGCCTTCGAATTACGTCATTACTGGAAATCTAGAATAAGAGCACTTTCCCTTACACGTACTTTTGAACAAGAATATGACGAGATTTCCGACAAGCTCAAACAAGTTGTGGCTGTTTCCGAATCATTGAGAGACTCGGTTTCCTTGATGAATGTTTTGGGGTTGATTCTTGACATTGGTAATTACATGAACGATTCCAACAAACAAGCGAGTGGTTCCAAATTGAGTTCCCTTAGCAAGATTAGGAATGGGCCAGGGATGACAAGAATGAGTCAACATTCCGCTGATCTGGTGGAGCGTATTGTCCGTACACAATATTCTGAATGGGAAGGCTTCACTGATGACATTGGTGGCGTTGTCACAGCACAGAAGTTGAATGTTGAGCAATTACAACAAGATGCTAAACGATATATTGACAATGTCAAGAACGTTCAAATGTCACTTGACTCGGGTAATCTCAGTGACCCGAAAAAATTCCATCCACAAGATCGTGTTAGTCAAGTTGTTCAACGATCAATGAAGGATGCGAGAAGGAAGGCCGAACAGATGCAACTGTTTTTGGAAGAGATGATTAGAACTTACGATGATATCATGGTCTTCTATGGTGAAGATTCTGCTGACGAGAATGCAAGAAGAGAATTCTTCGCCAAGCTTGCTATTTTTGTAACCGAGTGGAAGAAATCGAAAGAAAAGAACATGGCTCTGGAGGCCACACGCAAGCGCAACGAGGAATCGATGAAACGGAAGCGAGCACAGATAAATGTTGGGGCTACAGCAGCTGCTGGACCACCTTCACCAAGTTCCACAGGTGCTATGGACTCCTTACTTGAGAAATTACGAGCTGCCGCACCCCAAGCTCGTGATCAAAGGGATCGAAGACGAAGAGCACGATTACAAAATCGTCACCAAGTTCGTGTTGCATCTGGTCAGAAAATTCCTGATCCAGATGAAATCCCAGAAGCCGAAGTAGGACTCAATAATGTTGAATCGGTCAAAACAGAAGGTTTATTAAGTCCTGATTTACCGCCACCGAAGGAGGTTGATAATGAAACCGATGATGTCGCTGACAGAGCGGCACAACTATTACAGGGAATGCGTGGAGCGGATGGTGTCGATGAAGGGGAAGGAGATACCACTAGAAGGGATAGTGCTAGAAGATCAAGGCGAAGAAATAATGCAGAGGAGGAAAGAAATGAACGAAGAAGGCGTAGACAAAAGGCTAGTAGTGCATCTGAAACTGCTACACCCGGTGCAGAAGAAGATACGGCTACTGAAGAAGTAAAAACAAAGGAAACTACGATCCTCGTACCAGGTTCACCATTATCGGAAGATGGTGATAGAATACTTACTCCTACGATGATTGTTAGTCCGCCTGAAGTTACGGAAGCGGAGGGTTCCCCACAAAAGCCGATTGAGTTGGATGATTAAAATGTGGATGTCGAACGTGGATTGTGAAGAGATGAGATGTGAAATGAGAATTAAGGCTTTTTAATGTCTAGTGATTCAATGGAGGATCCTTTTATAGTGGGATGCTTCTTGTACCTTATTTTCTTGACTGGTCTGGATGGGAGAAGGGGATGATGCCACAATGGCTTCGGGTGTGGATGGTTGAAAGGGGTATGGAAAGGGATGGTGGGGATAGATGGATGGAATAGCGGAGGAAATGGAAGGAAAGATAAGGGAAGGATGGATGAGGGGAGTTAAGAGAATCCTCATTTCTGCATAGCGTGCGTCGTGAATGGTTATCGGTACTACCGTTTCTCTTTTCTTTCAGTCATTTTTTTTATAGCTTTGAAGATTATTACAGTCTGGATTTTGTGTCTGGGCGACTGGACGAATGGATGGATGGATGGAGATAGATTAGCGGATGAGAGAAGACCGTGAGGATGCTGGAAAACGGAGTGAGGAGTATTTAGTAGTGTGTGTGTGTATAGTGAGGGGTGATGAAAGTATACATTACATTGTTCTATTTAATTACAATGAGATGAGTTGAGTTGAGTTGTGCATATATATTATATGTATAAATTAATTTTTTTGATGTGATGTGATGTTGTGATGTGGGTTTTAGGGTGTATTATGGAGATTGAGTGGGAGTAGGAGGCCCGGTGAGGGGTGGGTGCGAGGGGTGCGGGGTACGGGGTCTTGAGGTGAGGGTGAGGGTAGGTGTGGAAAATAAGGGTGATTTGTAGTTTGTAGATGATGCGGAGGGGAATATTTTTTATAAGTAAATACTAGTGGAGATGAGGTTAATAATTGATTTTATCTTAAGTCTAGTGCCCTACCTTCGGGCCACTCTTTTATATCAAAAATAACGATTCTCAATTATTCATAACTTTATAATTAATCAATTTAATTTGATACAATATAAATTAAAGATTTATTATATAATTAATAATATATTCTCGAAATTTATGTAATTGTGACGGAAACCCCTGCTTTCCTCCCACCCTTATTATATAAGAAACCTCAGGTACATTAACCATGTCCACACATGATACGATTACTCGGGATTAGTATACGATTTAGATGGTCTGAGGATCAGATCCGGACAAGTGCTAGGTACCAATGGTTATCGGTAAAGTAAGATCATTGGAGGGATAAATATGACTTCTTTTTGCCTAGCCATTGCGGCTAGGCCATTCATTTGTGTATATATAGAGTAGCTATCCCCATCTACAGGTGCTCTTCACATGTAGATTCTAAGTTAAATACAATTGCTGGTCAACAATTCTCGAGTTCAAATTCAAATACCGTACATTTCGTGGGTTATTTGATTCTCTGCTTCACTGGCCACGGCTCTAACGAGATTATCAGAATTCCTTGGCCATCTAGACATCGTCCCGTATCCGCCACCACTTTACTATAAACCCTGGAAGTCCCTGTCACCTATGGAGCGTCAGTGGGCCTTGGAAGAACTACAGAGTCTCAGCAAACTCCAAGCTCAATCAGCCATGAACAGTACCCCATCCAGTGCCCAGCAACCTAGAGAGTGGCGCTCTTGGAAAGATATGTAGCCATCGGAGAGAAAGAATGCGTTTTGGAAACTGCAGTTAGGTTCTTTTCATGACCTTATAAACATCCGCCTCTAATAATTTGACCATTAGAAAGAACATAAGGCTTTTGAAAGAGGAGAGGCCAAGCAGCAGCTTTCTGACATACCTGCTAACAGAATCATTGTCCTCGATGACGATGGCATAGTACAGAGCTCGGTAAGGACCAGATCACTGCCTTTGGTCAAACGCGAGACACGGATACAACAAGGAGCAATAAAGCAGGAAGTAATAGACCTAGGTGGCGGAGAGCAAGCTCTAGATCTTTCTCGTATGATAATGAAGCGAGATTTAAAGGAAGAACCAATCGAGCTTGACGATTTTCCATTCGCCTCCACAATTCGAAGACCTTCAGCTAAGAAACCTAGGATTCAGCAAGAAACTATTAACGTCGATGCAATCGAGCACAGTAAGATCAAACAAGTCATAGATGTTGATGCGATTGCTGACAACACCATTGTTCTGGAGAAGGAGTCTACGATCAAATATGATCTAACAGAGATCGATGATGATGTTATATTCACATCGCCGTTTCCAATTCCAGCCGTCAAGGACGAGGATTTCAATGACATAAATATGATGAAAGAAGTTCTACCGTTTGTTGAGGCAGACAGGGAGGAATTTGAATTTTACACTTGATTTTTTAATTCAAAGAGATGAAAATGTTAGCAGCAGCTTGTAATAGAGGCTTTATCGGTGGATCATAACAGGGCCTAAAGCTTCACAATAGGAATAGCTCAGGGCATGTGAGCTTCATTGTATTAACATTTCCGTTCTGTTTTGCACGAAGCAAAACGAATCATACATGACATGGATGGTGAATTATCTGGCATGATAATTCGATGTACCAACGAGAAAAATTTCATACAAACAAACCTAAGCAATTTAATTTGCCTTCCTGGGAAGTTAAAGAATATCAAAATTTGAACGCACCCAGGGTGTGACTTTAGTAACTCAATTTAGCCTAGATGCACTTTCCCCACCTCGATTTAACCCCGCGTTCCCATTCAACACGATGCATGACACTAAATATGAATATCTGTTGTCGGCAGATCATTCTCACGAGGTAAATATGTCATGATATAATCTACCAAAAGTAATGTAGGTGTTTTCCTTTTCCTCTTGATCCTACATCTTGAATTTTGTTTGCTGGCTCTATCTCAGATTCGCCTCAGTATTCTTCATTATGGCATCGCCAGAGCAATTAACATTAGGCTATGACACAAAGCATCCATTCTCAGTCATATCTCTCACTGATCGATCCTCTGTTCAAAATCTTCTAAAAAGCCTTCTTGATCCCCTCAAACCCCACTTTTCCCCGCAAAAAGCCTTGGTTCGTGTACCTGGCTCCACTGCTGTCCGCTTCGATGCGCGTGCTGCTGAGATTGAAGGATTTTGTCGACCACTATGGGGGTTAAGTTCGCTCTTGGCTGGAGGCGGTGAGTATAATGGGACGGAATGGTGGGTGGAAGGGTTGAAGAAAGGAACAGATCCGGAGAGTAAGGAGTATTGGGGAGAGCCTAGAGATAATGATCAAAGAATGGTGGAAATGTGTCCATTGGGATTTACATTGGCTGTTGCGCCAGTGTTCTGGGATAAGTTAAGTGAGAAAGAGAGAGGGAATGTGGAGACGTGGTTGGGCAACTCGATTAATAGTAAAAAGTGGGTTTTCATGGAGTTGTAGTTGAATGGAGCAAAGTGCTGATCAGTACTAGTATGCCGAACACAAATTGGTTATGGTTTCGAGTATTTGCAAACCTAGGACTGAAGAAGAATGGAGGGAAACACTCACAGGAGAAGATTGAGCAAGATATTGTTCACCTAAACTCTTTTTTCCGAGGAGAAGGATGGTCCAATGATGGACCTGAGGGGATTTGGCAACAAGATTATTACAGTGGAAGCTTTGCGATACAATTCCTTCAACTACTTTACGCAAAGCTGGCTGGCGATGAAGACCCAGCTAAAGCTGCGGAGTTCAAGAAACGAGCTCAAGATTATGCGTTGCACTTTGTTCATTACTTTGATGAAGAAGGAAGAGCCACACCTTTTGGAAGAAGTGTTGGATATCGATTTGCCATGGCTTCATTTTGGGGTGCTTTAGCATATGCCGATGTTGAACTACCAGAACCTTTGACATGGGGTATAGTTAAAGGATTGCTCCTGAGGAATCTTAGATGGTGGCAAACACAAGATCAAATATGGAGTCCAACTGGAACATTAACTGTAGGGTATTCCTTCCCAAACATGTTTATGTCGGAAAATTACAATTCACCAGGAAGTCCATACTGGGCATGTTTGGCATTCATTTGTTTGGCTGTTACCGAAGATCATCCGTTCTGGGCATCTGAAGAGGAACCCTACCCGACGAACCTGATTCCCAAGACCATAGCCTTGAAACATCCTGGACATATTATCAGCTATCTTGGAGGCCATAAGATGATTCTTTCTTCAGGTCAGGCATGTTCATATCCTATGAGAGGAACACATGCAAAATACGGATCCTTTGCGTACAGCAGCGCATATGGTTATTCTGTCCCTACAGGATGCTTTTCGCTAGAACAATTCGCATTAGCTTCACAGCTTGGCTTATCTGATGATGGAGGTGAAGTTTGGAAGACACGCCGAATTTGCGAGACAGCAGTTATCGAGACGCATGATGATCAACCAGTGTTGAAATCAATCTGGAAACCTTTCCCGGATGTGACTATCAAAACTTATCTCATTCCACCCGTAGAGGATACTCCAAACTGGCATCTTCGAGTTCATAAAATTGAAGCTGGCCGAAAAGTTATGACGGCAGATGGTGCATTCGCAATTTTTAATGAGCGAAAATCCGATGGACGCTACCTTGATCTTTATGATCCAGCTAAAAATGAAGGTACACTTCCCAAAATCATCGGAAACTACGACCTCAATACACCTGAAGGCAGTTCCCCAGGCTCAGCAGGTTCATTCGCTGTATCTAAGGGTGCTGTTGGGATAGTTGCGCTCGAGGACAATGGTGAAAGTAAGCGCACGGCGATGCTCGTTAATGCTGATCCAAATTCTAATTTGGTTGAAAGTCGCACGGTGATACCTACTTTACAGATCACGTTGGAAAAAGGGACTGTGACTTGGTTTGTTACCGGTATATATGCTAAGTCTTCTGGGGAAGCGAGAACTTATCTTGATGGGTGGAAAAACAGACCTGTAGTTCCTGGATGGCTGATAAATGAGATGAGAGGCAATTGAGTATTAGTTGGTAGACTTAGTAAGCTCTGTAGATGAAGACTCATAGTATCTATTTGGTCTGGGAAGTGCATTCCTAGATCATTTTGACTTCTCGTCTTATTTCTCAGAAAATAGTGTTACATAGCACAACGATATCTATCACTTCACTTAGTGTAAACCATACTCACATTAACAAACAATCCTTCCACAGATATCAAACATGAAATTGACACACACCGCATCCCCCAAATCTCTACCCCAAGTCTCTATTCTTTTATCCCAACACCCTCTTCATCCACAATTACCCCAAATCCCAGACCAACACAACAAGCTTTCCCCTCCCCATATGCGGGGTTCCCTACACCAAACCCCAAACAGAATAAAACGCACAAAAACGTTAGAGATACATATGCGCCCAGCCGGTTATTGATTCCAGAGATGGTCATGCAGAACCTACATTCGAAACTAAGATTGGTTGGATGAATACAAGGTGGGATTTTTCCGATGTAACGTCGGTTACTAGGGCGTCGGAAACCTGGGGGCGGGGCTTCGTGGGGTTTGAGAGGGCATGTTTTTGGCTGTGTTGGGTAATCTTTGGGTTAAGATGGAGAAGATAGATATGGGGATATGGAGATGCTGGTCTCGGTTGCTGAATGGAGAATGGTCTTTTTTTTCCTTTTCCTTTTGTCGTGGTGGGGGTGTGTGTAAATGAGGGGTTGTTATAGAGGTGTATTTGATTGCATTTTCGGTTTGAAGCTAGTTAAACCTCCGAAGGTACGACTTTTCTTCCTACGCGTTTGTGTTTTAAGTATACTTCGAGATTTTGACCTATTACCTGGTTTTGATGGGAAATACCCTCGCTGTCTTTAACAAGTCGAGTGTTTGTAGACATTACCGAATATAGTCATCAAGATGGCCGTCGGACTTGGCCAAAGATTTTTGATGAAGATTGTGAGGAATGAATCTATGAGAACGTATGTCCTGCACTTGGAACTATCTAGCTAAAGATGATGCTAACTTTATGCGACAGGGACCCGTAAGCATTCACAAGTTTGCGAGAAAATATCTCAAGACTAATTGGAACATCTGAATAGCCCCGAAATTTATGGATGGAGAGTTTTCTTCCTAGCAAGTTCTGGTACGTACACCATTCCTATCTAGAAAGAGAAGGGAATCGAAGATGATTTCAGCATATGTATTAACTTCTACACAGCTTGTTTCGGCGGTATGCTATTTGGTTGGGGTATGTTAGGACTTACCAATCGAAAGTTTAGAAAAGTATACTGATTTGTATGCAAAGATATTGGTACAATAGGAGGCGTAATTGTCATGCCTTCTTTCACCAAGTATTTTTCCTCTGATGTAATACCTGATGCAGAATTGACGTCGAGTAATAGGGCATATCATATCGACCACCTAAGCGACACTGCCCGCGCAAATCTGTTGTCAAATAGTGAGTTCACTCATGTTACTTATGGAATCTATATCTAAGGATAAATAGTTGTCAGTACGTTGCAAGCGGGTTGTTTCTTTGGATCATTGGTCGCATATTATGTTGCGGATCGATGGGGTCGAAAGGTAGGGGACTCTTAAAAGTTACATCCATGATAAGTTGTTTTACTAAACTCTCAAAGCCGGCGTTGCTCACTGCCGCGGGTGTTACGATTCTAGGAGTTGTTATTCAATGTGCAACACATGGGTATATGTAAGAAGTGCCAAGTTCTCCTTTCAAACTTAGTGCTAACTCGATGATAGCTCTGCTCTCTATGTTGGTAGACTCATTGCTGGATTGGGAGTAGGAGCTGCTAGTATGCTTACGCCTCTTTATGTGAGTTCTACTGAGTTTTCTCTCTATCAGAAACCTCGACTAGTCTAACGATCATCTATAGGTTAGTGAAAATGCGCCTAGAGCAATTAGAGGTGCTCTCACTGGGATGTATCAATTATTTATCGCTACCGGCACTATGCTGAGTTTTTGGATTAACTACGGCTCCTTACTGCATCTCAAAGGCGATGCTCCCTGGATCGGTAATCTGACCCCCGCCCCTTCTCGATACTGGAGTTTATGAGTAGGATACTTATATTTTATTTCTCCAGTTTCTCTTGCTCTTCAGATGTTACCGGCCATTTTACTACTCTTGGGAATTGCTCTGTGTCATGAATCTCCTCGGTGGTTGGCACGACAAGATAATTGGGAGAAAGCTACTGCGGTTTTATCAAAAGTGTCTAAGTAAGTTACTAGACTACTACTTGTCGGAACATTTAGGGGGCTGCTAACATATATGAGTCTACCCCCCGATCATCCCTATATCCGTATGGAACTCGAAGAAGTATACTCCCACCACCCAACTCCATATAATCATCTAACGATTTCCAGATGTCCGAGCAGCTCGAAAATGAACGTCGTCTCGTCGGCGGGGCCAGTTTCTTCGACCTCATGAAAGAAATGTGGACGATATCAGGAAACCGTAATCGGGCTTTAATATCCATCGGACTAATGATATGTCAACAAATGACCGGCACAAACGCCATAAACTACTACGCGCCGACCATCTTCCTCAATCTGGGGGTAAATTCCACAACTGCCGGACTCTTCGCAACAGGCATCTACGGCATTGTAAAAATGGCCACCTGTGCGGTATTCCTCCTCGTAGCGGCCGATTCTCTCGGAAGGAGAAAATCATTATTATGGACGAGTATTGCGCAGGGATGCGCCATGTTTGTGATTGGTTTTTATGTGAGGTTTGATCCGCCGCTCAAGGGTGCCACTATACCTCCCGTGGGATATTTCGCTCTGACGTGTATTTATCTATTTGCGGGATTTTTCCAGTTTGGATGGGGACCGTGTTGTTGGATTATTGTGAGTGAAATACCGGCTGCGAGACTGAGGGCTCTTAATGTGGCGATTGCGGCGGCAACGCAGTGGTTGTTTAATTTTGTCGTTGCGAAGGCCGTGCCTACCAGTGAGTTTCTGCTTTTCTTTTCCTGTTTTCTTCATTTCCCCCCCCCTCTTCCCGCCTGGCTCTCCCTCTATGTACTCGTCGCCCAATATCTCAAGAAAACGACCCTAATAAGAACAAAAAACAGTGCTCGTAACAGTCGGACGCGCAGGCTACGGAACCTACTTCATCTTCGGCTCTTTCTGCTTCAGCATGTTTTTCTTCGTATGGTTCCTAATCCCCGAAACCAAAGGTCTCTCACTTGAAAAAATGGACTCTCTATTTGGAATCACCGAAGTCGCGAATAAAGATATAGAATCTAATATTGGATCTGTTCGAGGTACCCACGCTATTGATGAGAAAGCTGTTATTGATATTCCTGAGATTGCGGATGAGAATGCAGGGAAGAGAGATGTGCAAAGGGGTGAATGTGTTGAACTTTCTGGTGTACCGAGTTCACAGGTTCGAGGACCTGAGATTTCGAGGGATGATGGTGGGGAGGAGAAGGAGATTGAATTGAGAGGCGGTCCCGGCGATGCGAGGGCGTTGACACCTACGAGACATTTTGTGGGGAAGGAGAAAGAGAAGGATAAGAATGAGACGGGGAGCGTGGGTGATCAAATGGGGTATTATTGTTAAGGGATTATTATTTGTGATGTGGTTCTTTTTGGAGGACATAATCTGGTTCGAGACCTTTTGATGATATGGTTGGGTGAGGCGACGGGTATTTTGAAATTTGAAAGAGAGGGGATTTGGCGAGAGGAGGTAACTTACGGGCACATATAATGAGATGTATGTGGATGAAAAGGCTCTTATATACCACTTTCCTTAAAGTACATCAAAAGAATATACTCGTTTAAAGCCCTTGCAGTATCGGATACTTGGTACTTTTGAAGACTCTCTAAAATTTAGGCCTATCCGCGCGCGGCAGCATGTCCTGCCGAGGCTCTCATGGATTTATAGACTGTTTACTTCCTATTATGCTCTAAGTTTTCATCTTCCTGGTTGTGGACTGTTGATCGTGTCAAACACCGGATTGACAGAAAGAAGATGTGGAGTGTTATACGTTTCAACCCTGACGAAGTGTCGCAAAGCGAAAAGCTTACGAATATCAAAATCTAAACTCCAAAGCAAGCATTAATCATCGCGAGTGGCATTACTCGTGAACATTTGCTCGCGTGGGCCCATCTTTTCCTCTTGACCTGTGAACGCCGTTCCTGAAAACGAAATTTATATTCGCCTCTTGTGCTTCGTTCATCTCCAGAATTCCACTAAACTTTATTCTCCCATTTTCTCATCCCAAGTGACTTATAAACACTTCTACAAAAAGGACGCCAAATCCTCTTCTCGCCATCAAAATGAACATATCCTAAGCCCAAAAGAGCACCACTTAAATGCGCCTACACAATCACGGATTAGTCACGAGCAACCCCTAAAATAAATCCAAAGGAATTCTTACCGCATGTGCCAATCTGAGCGTTTTGAATGCACCAAACATGCCAAGGAGATCAAATAACATAACTGCACTCAACAACTCTTGGGCCGCAAAAGGATATGGAATGAACATGATTTGGAATTGAGCTTCTGGGTGCTGTAAAGCAAAAGCACCAATTAGGGCAAAAACAGCACCACTCGCTCCCAAGAACGGTACCGCAGGGGTATTAGGACGAAATCTTGCACTTGAAGCTTGCGCCCAACTGCTAATGACACCCGTCGATAGATAGAAAGCCGTCATATGAGCAATACTCGATTTAAAAGTCGGATCTTGTCCTAGGGTTGGCATGAATGAATGGAATCCGTACATATTGAAACCTAAATGAATAAGAGATCCATGACCAAATACACATGTAAGTAACGTGAAGTTTCTATTTGTACCAGGAATATGCATGAAGATATTGCTCCACAATGCTGGTGTGAAGATACTTAGAGTATGAATTCCTATATTCGTAGCCATGACTGTGTAAGTAAACTTTTCGGATGGCATCAATTTCTCCCAGAACCTTTGGCGTCCCTCGGGGTTGAAAAGCTGGTTTACTGGTGGCCATGTGGTTGGTGCCCATAATATTCCAGGCGCATACTTCATTTCATGAATTTTTCGTCTCACATCGTACACGTTCTCCTTGTCTCTAGTGAACATTTCCATGAATTTGGGAGTTTCTTTCTTGAGATGCAAATTCTCGCATACAGCTGATGTGGTGTATATAGTACCGACTGCTAACAAGGTGAATATGGTCATGGCAGTGAGGTTGGTATGAACGGGAGGGCTAGGTGGGGGCGGGATATTAGAACTTTCTGACGAAGGATCGAGGGCATTTCTCAAAAATCCTGTGGATGTAAAACCCCTTTTGTTGAATGAACACCGAATTGGTGTGATGCGCGAAAGGATAGGACCACTCGGGGACCTGCAGAGCCCAATTCTTCGAAGCATTTCGGACGTTCAAGACGTGGAATTCAAGAGTATTTGATATGATACCAAAGAATAATCGGGGACTATTTTCGCATTTCGTAAATAGTCGTAAAAATTTATGGTTCGTATCATGTTGTGGTACGAATAAAGTGATGTTATGATTAGTTTCCTGGCGTCTCGTCCGCATGATTCAAGCTGGCACGTGATCAGTGATTTTCCTACTAGATTCGGAATTACACCGGCCCCGCCACCGGAGAGGCTTGTCTCCCCTTTACCAACCGAATAATTGTACATGAAATCATTATCTCAACAATTCAGAACTAAAAATGACATCATTCTAATATATAATTCAAATTTTATTAAATTCTATTTACTCGTTATGGAGTTATTGGTAGGTAGAAATGATGATTTTTGATGTAAAAGGGTGGCCGAAAAGTAGGGTACTAGACTTAACATTGGGATAGATGCAGTGGTACGTGGATAAATATATAGTGGTGAAAGCGAAGGAGGTAACCCACTTGTCCAGGTCAATGATTGGAATATTTGGAGATTTGGTGGTTTCATTATTGGCCGAGTTATGACAGAACAATCGGGTGTCAGTTTTACAAAACTTCAATGGATTGGCTGCTACAGAATTATCAATATCTATAGAATTCGACGGTCGTTGTTCTTAAGGTCTAGATGGTTTAGATTTAAAATTTGCGAAGTTCAAGGCTTGTTCTACGCACTGATTAGAAATTTGTGCTAGTCCGCTTCTTAAGGGAGTCTCCATGAACGATTTCTTGGCTAGTGAAGTTCGTTTTGATCTACACAAATCCATGAAGCCAGAAGGCCGTTTGGATGCTTTAATAGTAGGCTCAAATTTTATCTTAGGTTGCAAAGTAGCGGTCGAACTATATAATTCAAAATTGCAGGCCTCTTTGGATGCACATTCTGTGACGCCTTTTTCAATCTGGCTCTCGAAGTAGGAACATGTCGATGAAGGAGTGTTGAAAGCTTTTGAAGAAGGTGAGCTCGAGACATTCCTCACAATTGCGATCCTTGATGTGAGTTGAATCTGTGCAGATCCACCTGCCAAGGAATTCATGCTTTGGGAAGTTTGCTCATTCTGTGGTTGAGAAGCAATATCTGGCCCATGGTCTACAGCTCGTTCTGGCTTTGGACGGGCACTGCTAATCCTCAACCACGAACGAGACGGGATTCGTGTATTCTCTGAGGGCTTCTTCAATTTTCCAGGTCGGTTTTCGAAATTGATAGCATTGTTCTCAGACTTGCCAACAGCCTCTGAATCCTGGGGTATCTCTCCCTTGTCAAGATATTGGCGCCTCTCCAGTTATTGAATGGGTTTGTGGTCTATAACGCTATCTATCGATTGCACATAACTGTAACTTTTTAAATGCTCTCGGTATTTCATAAAAGTAGTTTACCTCATGAGCGCCAGCAATCTGGTGTTTTCTTGCGGAGCTCATTTTTAAGTGCATCAGTAGCTGCTTTCTTAGGCTTCGGTCAATCGCTTTGTAATGATGTGGCCATATTTGCAGAAAATCATGTTTCTGAGTACAAGGTCAGTACAACACATTTTAGAAATGTTACGAAAGGTCCACCTACTAAAAGTTCTCCATGTGCTGTGTCTCGTTCCGTGGGAGTCAATAAAAGCCAAGCTTGTCGGATTGAAGCGATAGGGGTCTGCATAGTCAATAGACTCAATCGAAATCTTCCCATCTTTCTTACTTACTTCCTCGGCATCAGATTTTGGATATTTCTTCAGATCAAGCTTCCGGAATGAACATCTGAAATGATGAACCGTGTGAGCTCGCCTGTTTCTCGGGCTTTCTTCCCGACTTCCATATACTCATCAAGATAATTTTATCTGCTAATGTTGAAAAGTATGGGGAGTTTCCAATGGCGGAGGGAAAAACGTTCATACGACTCCCCAAAACTTGCCTCCATTATGTAGTTTCGTTCCTAAATCGACGTGAAATTCCGGGCGTTAATTTGGAAATTGTTAAGATAGCGAAGCCGTGATAAAGTTCTGACGTGTGGTGAAGTATGAAAAGATTCTCGGAGCAGGAATGCTTAGGTAGTTTTTAAATTGTCGATGACTGATTGCTCATACAAAATATGGTGCGGCAAAGAAAGATTTTGCTTTGTTCAAAGAGCGCAGGAAGTCATTTATTAGCTATATCTCATGTTTAAATATAAGTGCTTTGAACGATGTGAAAGTGAACGAAAAATTGTTGGTATTAAATCTAAGAAATAGGAGATTTGTGTAAAAGACGATACCAAGAGTTTTAGGTACGGAGAGAACAACGGGTAACAGCAAGGAAAATACTATCTATAAGATTGAAGGGAAGAAGGGTTTGATAATATTGTAGAATAGAGGGAGAAGAGAGGGAGAAGCATAGAAGAAGAAAAAGGAATTAATGGTAGATTATATAGTCAGAATAGAGCAAGGTGAATTGATGCTGCAGCAGAACAATACAGCTCGGTTAGCTTGGAGCGCACTTAAAAGTGAGATCCAAGATGCTGGCATCTGATAGTGCTACCACATGTTAAATTGATCTTCTCAGCCCACCCCATGTCATCTTTGAAACGGTCTCTAATTTTTGAACCATTGAGAGGGACATAAGAATACCTCAAATTACACCATTTTCCTTCTTCCTGCTCCTCTCGTTTCTATGACATCAAATCATAAATGACTGGGATGAGATTATATATCAATTCCGACAGGCTCATGCTTCAGATCCTTAAGCACGAGAAACACCGCACCGAACAACAGTGTTTATGCATATGGTTAGATTATTGTCTGCTCGAGATGTATCCGCAAAATGCAGGGGAGTGACAGGCACACCTTTTCAATTTATCCACTCCTTTCACTTCCTTGCGTCTTCTTATCGAGGTTCAATGTTCTTACCATAGAACCTTTCCAGATTACCAGTACTCAAAGAATCGGATAATGAATGAAGCTATGGAACATGTTGACGACTTGTACTATAGAAGATATAGTCGAAGCATGCTTCGCCAATTCACACATCTGCAACATCCTTAGCAACTCGAATTAACTTATATATCGCAGCCGCAAAGCCTTACTCAGTCGATCAGATTTGAATCCCAAAATTAATGCAGTGCTCACACACATTAACAAACTCTTTTACAAGACTTATAAGATTTTACCTCAAAACCAATATGTGTATGAACACTATCCGGACATAATTGATATTTGCTCGTCAACTACCCCTCGCGCAGATCTGCCTGATTTTGGCATGTGCAAGGCTATATTTCTATCGTAATGGATTCTTAGAGTACAAGAAGGATACGCTAAGGCAAATATGGTGATACTTTGCCATTCTCCATTGTTCCTTTTAAAGCTGATCCATATCCATTTGATTTCTATTGGGTTTCTTGAGACCAGAAAGAGCATTAGATTGAATTGATTTACTAGCTAAGCAGTTAAGCTGCGAGTATATATTCAAAAAGTGAAGGAATAGGCTTAGGTATTCGGCCTTCGGAATTAAAGTGCTTTGAAATCAAAATATTGAAAGCAAACAAACAGCATAGCAAAAAGGAAAGAATGAATTTAAAAGTTGAGTTTTGTTTGCTCCTTATATGCATCATGCAATATATATGCATATGCTGCCCAGATCCCAGGAGGTCAACAATTTCCCAGCAAAGCTAACTCGTTTAAAGTGAGATGGTGGTTCTTGAGCTTTGAAGGCCACAATGACGAGTAACTTTACTCTTGTGGCTTAAAACTTGTTGTCTTACACTCATAAAACAATAGAAATATGTTAAAAACTACCGAATAAGGTAACATACCCGCTTCTGTTATTACTTAGATATGTGCTGTGGGAAACCTTAAGAGACTTCCACCCCTCACCAAAAGCCCTATGGATATTTCTATCACAGCGGTCAGAACTGCTTGTATCTGCCCACTTTATATAAAAGTATTAGGATTTCACGTCTTTCAGTATTGTTAAACGGTTTGAGGTGATGATTTTTATTTACAGATAAAGTAGGAACGCAGTGACAACCTTAAACCTTACATCACCATCAAAAAGGCCCGGAAATACGTTTTTGCGCGCGGACCTGTTCTGAGCCGGATCACTCCAAACAGCTTTCCCTTCAATAACTCCACAACCATATATGCAAAATTCACCCTCAACAGCCTGATCACTTTCTCTAATCTCACGATCATTCAACTTTCACGCTCATTCTCTTCAGGATTGCCCGGACCCCTCATAGGATTTTTCAAACCACCAACTACATCCATTCAATCCCACGTCCTCTAATACGCAAACCCAGATCACACGCACCTCAACCCATTCACCTCCACCCAATACAAAAATGTCCTTCGAATCTCCGCTGCCCCCATATAATGCCTCTGACCCTACAGCCACCTTCCTCAATTCCTCATGTCTGGACCTCCTCCTTATTGAACTCGTTCCTCTAGCCTACCGTACTGTTCACGAACTTGATGCGCCAGCCTCTTCTTCCTCCTCTTCTCCCAATCCTTCACAACCCCCGAAAATGGAAGAAGATGAGGAACGGGACCGTGTCTTTTTCCGCCTGGAAAGTCTTGGATATCGTGTTGGTTTAGGTTTAGTCGAGAGATTTAGTAAAGATCGCCCGCGGTTTACGGATACTTTGGATGTGATTAAGTTTCTGTGTAAAGATTTATGGATGTTGGTTTTTAGGAAACAGATTGATAATTTGAAAACGAATCATCGGGTACTTAGCTCCTTGCTACTTTCATCTTTTTGTTTTATTTTCAGGAGATAAATGAGTCCTAACACAGTGTAGGGAGTCTATGTCCTAACAGATCATTCATTCCGTCCCTTTGCGCGCATGAGTACGGAGCCAGGTGGAAATGCACTTTTACGGGCACAACCTGTTAGTTCCACTCTATTCCCACATTGCCTTGAAGTGCATACAAACAATCAACTAACAGTCTGAAATACAGTTCTTATACTTCCCCTGCGGCATAATTCGTGGAGCCCTCGCTTCAATGGGTATAAATGCCACCGTTCAAGCGGAAACAACCGAATTACCGGGTGCTACATTTCAGATTAAGAGTATTGTTAATACTACCACCGGAAAATGATAATTACGTTTGGATCCCGGGAAAAGGATATAACACATCTGCTGAAGCCATCAGAAACAGCATGAGGTCATGCCGCTTCCATGGAGGCAAGGGATTGGCTCAAAGAGAGTCCTAGTGTGCATAAATGACCAAGTCACGAACGCCAAGAGAACGAGGAAAAGAAAGATATCCAGTACCACAATGTACATCACAGTACGATAATTTTTGGCAATTTAGCGAAATGTCATGGCATTGAATGGTGGGGTTTGGGGGGTTCATAGCAAGGAGTCATAGGACAGAGCAGGACGAATCAGAAACTGAAGGTCTCTGAGGATAGATAGACATAACATGTCACCAATATACCGCGGCTTTATTGGGGATGGACCAGTGATAGAGATGACCTCCGAAGCAGGGACTTGATATTCAGATATGAATATGAGAATTCATACATGTTGAATAGACGAGAATACCAGAAAATCTTAATATCATACTTTACTAAAATTGAAATCAATTGCTACCTTGATCTACATCCAATAATATTCCTCACCTATCTCATATTCTACATCTCATACTTCATATCTGACACCTTATTTTTCACATCACACCCTCAATCCTAGTCTGATTGCTTTGGCCGAAAAATCCCTTAGGCCAGCCCTCCTGTTCGTTCCAATGACTAGAGGAAAGGAAAGATGGGGAGAAGAGTGTAACGATACTGTACTGGAGGCAGCGGCTGCCTGAGGTTCGTCTGGTTGGTAGCTGTGGGTTAAGGCTTTTTATTACTAGTATTTACTTGGAAGTGAAGTCGTTACTAGATCAAGTAGAATTTAGATAAACTAATTGATAACTAAGTTGAGCACGAAGCTCCTATACTATGAAACTACTCTGACTATATACCTATGGGAAAGGGAGCCCCTAGGGCTCCATCACGTGATCCTTCTTTGCCTTAGGACACTAATCCTGGGACAATTCTCCTAGGATAATTCCCTTCCTAGGATAATTGTCGTCCTAGGATAATTGTCCTGGGACGATTATCTTGGGATGCCTACCATCCTAGGATGCATTCTATCCCAGCCTACCCTGACCTCACAGGACACTTGTCCCTGTTCCATTGTGATTGCCTAGGACACTTGTCCTAGGATTTCTAGGTTCCTTATCGCAGGCGATAAGGAACCCCCGGTAATCGGCAGCCTAAACACCGATACTTGACTTTATCGCGTAATCTCAGTCGTGGTTCGTGACAGAGAAATATATTAAGTAACACAGAACTCTTTTCTTTATATTTGTTACGAGGTTTGCCGTCTAGATCACGTGGAAGTGCTCTAGGCTCTCGAAGTAGGTTTATAACTAGGCGTCAAGCAGGGACTTAAAGTAATGACAATAATGATATGCAATTCGTAACTAATAGTAGAGTATACTAAATGATTGATCTTGAGCACGAAGCTCTATACGAAGGAAATTCATCTTAATTATATAGATCTTCGTGTCCTGCCTTGGGTTGGAGCGATGGAGCTGGGGAGCGAGATTCGAATCTCGCTCCTTCGCTCCCTCGCTCCCTCACATGACTATCCACGTGATCATATAACACGTGATATTAGTTTATGATGTTACAACGTAACAATTCAATAAATATCAAGAAATAAATAAAAATATAAAATAAATAATTACAAGTTGGTTTAATTGAATTGAATAATTTGTTAAAGTGAATGGTTCCTGCGTAGCACATGCACAAGGCACTAGTCCTATTGGGACTAGATTGAGAAGCTCTCTGTAGGAGAGCTTCGCACTTCCGTAGAACTTAGAAGAAGAGTGATTAATTCACTAGACCAATATTACCTCAGTTCTGCCCTATCAGCTTCCCACTATTCCCTGTGTAAGGTCATTCCTTTTAACATAATTGATTATTTAATTTGGAGTTTCAGTAGGATAGTAGAGCTGGGAAAAATAGACGTCTAGATATAAAAGCTTTTAATAATTTGAAAAGTTTGGAAATCTTGAGTGTTGTTGAATATATCAGATGAAGTAAACATTTTGAACTCGTTCAGGCTAGTAGGAGCATTTGGGTATTAGGTCAGGACAAATGGGTGTAGAATTTAATTCTTTCTTCTCGATTATCTATACAAACCTGAGTGTTATATCCTCTTCTTACAAATATTGATGGTGATATTGACAAATGAAAAGACTCAACGAAAAAAAAGGAGTGTAGAAGTGAAAGGAAAGTCTGCACCAGAGCACCAGTACCTAGTACCAAGTTCTCAGATAATTATGTCCTGGAATCAAATCCCTAAACGCCATGCTCACTTGCTTGAATATATCCCGTACGAATTCAAGCCCATCGCTAAAATATTAGAACCTCTTCCCCTCCTTTCCAATCCAAAAACCCCTTGTCCCGTCCTAATCAATTCGATTCCTGTCCTGCCCCACCCACCTGGGTATATCTTGCTGATCCATATTCCAATTCAATTCCCGTCTCATCTTATGTTGCCTTTCTTCTTCCAAATCTCTAATTTTCGGATTTCTGTGCATTCGAGCTGCAAAGAAAGGCATCAACACTACCATGCTTCGCATTACCTCGTTCACCAAAGAATGCTACGTCGAAGAGGTGTATCTGTTTCTCCATCTCCTCACGAAAAGCTCACAAACTTCGGATCTCTAGGTCTTCCATCCGGACCAATATTTTGCTTCTTAAAAGTTTCCTGCATCCACAATCTTCTCGCCTCATCGAAATTGACCTTCTTTTTCTTCATGATCATTTGAATCTCCCTTTTTCCATTATCCGAAAGTCCATTTCTTGGGTCTGAATCTAATAGATTTTGGGATAGATTGAAATTTGAGGATGATAATCCGGATTCAATATCGTTTTCGAAGGAATGAGGGAGAGCATGATAAGGTGTGTACATGAATCTCGGGAGACGCTCGAGAAGATGTTCGGGGATGTAGGGAGACCAGCGATCTCGGGTTATGAATGCGACTAGGAATGGTATTAGCAACTGCTTGTCTCCAAGCCATTCGATGTCCCAACTGTGCCGACAATGGAAAGTAGCTCTGAGGGTGGAAACTTACTAGTAGAGATAACGAGGAATATGAAGACGGTTGTATAAAGTACGTAGGCCATTTTGACCTTTAATTACGAGGGAATCAAACTTTACAGCGCAGATTGGCTTTCGAAGACCCGAGGGATGTAGAATTCGAGATCACCAATCTCCAACTGGGTCTCTTTTAACAAAATCGTGTTTGTAGGTAGAAAGGTGTTAGTTAAGAGAAGTAAAGAAAGAGAGACTTAGGTAAAATAGGTAGTTATTGAGAAAGGAAAAAAAAACTGGCAATAGCCTCGCTTTTAAAAACAACGTCAGCTCATCAGTTGATGATGCCCGCCTCATCCGAAATGATTGCATTGAATTTCTTTAACCATCCATCCCCCACAGCCACCTTTCCGCATGCGATTTGATGTGACGAATGATTTCTTGATGCCTCGTTTGTTGATGAGTCAGCATTAAGGTTTCAACTTGCGGGCAGAGCAGAGCAGAAAAGACATGACTAAAATAGGATAAGCGAGACGAAATCTGATTGGACGCACAAATTCGGTGATTCGTGAATTTTAATGATTTTGCGACAAGATCTTGATACTTAGACAATATTTCGATTACCGCCAACGACCAAAAGAATTCTTCAATTCTCACTCACCCACCGTCAAGATGTCTCAATACGTTTCCGCTGATTTGATCTGGGAGGTTACCAGTACGTTTACCTCTTTTATTGTTGGAATAGGGGCATAGAGGTTGGAAATTGAAGGTTGAAGGGACCTGAAGGGTGTTTGGATACGACTCGGGAGGATTGAGAATTGAAGTCCGAACTTTGGTTCTTGAAATCATAGAATGATGGGGAAGGAATGCAATAAAAACAGGACAATTGCTGATGGTTTGGAATCTATTTAGGATCCCAGAACGCTTTCTTGGTCAAGCGCACAACTGGTGGTGGAAGCACATTCTCAAGAGACCCTTTGAACTTGACCAACAAGCACTCCAGAAAGGTACGGATTTCTCAAAAACACTTTTACCACGATTGGATGGAACGTTTTCAAATAAGGATAGAAGCTAATTGGATTATAGTATGCTGGTTTCGTCAACGACAAGGTACGATACCAATTCGATCTGCATATGACAACAACTCATGAGGGATTATCTTGAGGTGAATGTTACTGATTAATCTATGGATAGGCCGTTGGTGTTGTCCCAGCTGAGAAGGGTGTTACTTTGATCACCAAGAAGACCTCTGCTAGCCAAAAGCCAGCATCTTCTTTGACCAAGACCACCTTCAGCAAGTCCGGAAGAAAGTACGTTTGATTCGGCTATAGAATCTCTCCTAACCCAGGAATGGATTATGATACTAATGATTCCTCAAAATAGGACCTTCGCTGGTGTCGCAAAGACCGTCGCCAAGGATGGATACAGATCCGATCTCCGTGCTGAAGCCGTCGCCCGTTCCTCCGCTATCCTCGAATCTCAAACCCCAAAGAAAGATGCCCCAGCATCAAAGCTTAGAGGATCCAAGGCCGCCAAGGCTGCTGAGAAGGAAGAGTAAAGGATACCTATTTGATATGGTTGGGGACCAGGGGGGATTGATTATTGTTTAACTGGTTGGGTCTGGTCCGGTTGCTCAGGTACTCTTAATGAGTGGAGTAGTCTATTTATGACATTTGAGACAGGCATTCAAACTAGTTTCCAATGAATCGGTTACATCATGATGGTTCGAGATGTCGATGGGATTCTAAGTGAAGGTTTTGAAATGATTATGAGACTAGATAGTGGAGTTGATTGAATGTTCACAAGCAGGAAAACTCTCGGCATCAAGAATGAATTTTCAAAGTTTCACCACGGAAGAGCTCAACCAGTCAAAAGCTAAATTGCGACATATAGACATGTGAATATGGCAACCCGGGGGGGTATGTAGAGCTCGCCTCCATGATGCAAATGCTATGGATGAGAGATGTCCGTAGACTTCCGAACCCGAGGGGAATATACTATAGTAGACCTCGGCCATGGGACTATTGTCTGCTACATAATAAATTTTCCCAGACGTAGCCAAGGTTAGGCATTTTTGATGTGTAGGCCTACAAAGTATAAAGAATCAACATCTATCCTCTTGTCGCTGTTCAAAGATTCACAATCGATAAGGTGATCCTCCACTCATCCATATTACTTTACACGTGTTTACCCCAACCAACCAAATTTACCCAAGTCTACCAAGACGCCGAAAAGTACCAAGAGACGCACGACTGCCCAGGTGTAACACTCATGCTCGGCTCTTCTCAAATGAGATAAAAAGATAAAAAGGTAAGACCCGAGTTTCTCTACAGCCCGCATAGACTTCCAATCGAACAAATGAAAAGGGAAGATTCGATGGTAACTTTGCCTTTGCCCCGCTCTTTCTACCCCTCCAAGTAAAGGCGAAGTAAGGCAGGTCAATCAAAGCGATCAGCAAAACAACCAGATTTGGGTTTGAGCTTCTGACCTCTTGACCCCTTTTATTAAGCTTCTACTTCACCGACTGAAGGGATAAAAAGATTGATAAGTTCGCTGTTTTGGTTTAGAAATAGATATTGAAAATTTTGATTCTGTTTTGATTTTGACTTTGATTTTGATAGATACGAATGCTATTTATACACGGTATGTTTATTTTTATTTGAATAAGATGGAGCTGTGAAGAAAGGCAGTGAAGAATTATCAGAAAAGAGATGGATGACTGGGTGAGATGGATTGTTGAGAGGGACCCAATTTGTTGTGTTGGGTTAGAGGGAAAGTTGTGAGTTGGGTTAAATTGGATGGGTGGTGGGTGGGTGGACGAAGGGTGATGCGGGGTATGAGCTGATTATTTTAAGTAACAAAGCATACTAATTATTGATCTCGCAGAAACCTACATCTAAATAATCACTCTCTGAAAACATATCTCGATACCCAAGCACAAACACAAACACAAACACTTTTTATTACACTACATCTACATCTACACATATCAACATATCTCAAAATGGGTTTCAAAGCTGGTAGGTATCTTTAATACGCAAGATTGAGATTGAAAAAGAAACTGATTTGAGGATAGTTGTTGCTGGTGCTTCTGGAGGGATCGGACAGGTGAGTTTGATTTGCTTGACTTAGCTTCGCAAATGGAATAAAGAGGACGAGTTTAATGAAGAGATTGCTAATTTGTTATCCTCGTATTCATAGCCATTGTCCCTTCTCCTCAAGACCTCTTCTCTCATTACCGAATTGGCTCTTTACGATGTCGTTAACACTCCCGGTGTTGCCGCTGATCTTTCGCACATCTCAAGCCCAGCTGTACGTATACAATATGAAGGGATAAGGATAAGGACGAGTTGTAGAAGTGTTATGGAGGGAATAAAAACATGCGCAATGGCTAATATATGTTATCTGCGTAGAAAATTACCGGATACTTGCCAAAAGATGATGGTGCAAAGTTGGCATTCAAGAACGCCGATATTATCGTGATCCCAGCAGGTATTCCTCGTAAACCAGGAATGACTCGTGATGATCTCTTCAATATTAATGCTGGTATTGTCAAGGGTCTCATTGAGATCATTGCCGACGTCGCTCCAAAAGCCTATATCCTCATCATCTCCAACCCAGTTAACTCCACTGTCCCAATCGCTGCTGAGGTCCTCAAGGCTAAGGGAGTCTTTGATGCTCAACGTCTTTTCGGTGTTACCACTCTTGATGTTGTTAGAGCCGAAACCTTCGTTGCCGAGATTGTTGGAAAGGCAAATCCTCAAGAATTGACTATCCCAGTTATTGGTGGTCACTCTGGAGAGACTATTGTTCCTCTTTTCAGCCAAGCTAAACCAAGTGTTGAGATCCCATCTGATAAATTGGAAGCTTTGATTAAGAGAGTTCAATTTGGTGGTGATGAAGTTGTCAAGGCTAAGGATGGTGCTGGTTCAGCTACCCTCTCTATGGCTTATGCTGGTTTCCGGTATGTTTTAAATTATCTATATGACAATTTGTATTGACAAAATTTAGTTTCGCCGAGAAGGTTCTCAAGGCCTTGAATGGTGAGAAGGGTATTGTTGAGCCAACATTCGTCTACCTTCCAGGTGTACCAGGTGGTGACGCTATTGCTAAGGAGACTGGTCTCGATTTCTTCTCTGTTCCTGTTGAACTTGGCGTACGTTTATCTTGCCCTTCATCCCTTTTAAATTGGATTGCGGAAACTGATAGTGAAATAGACCAACGGTGCTGACAAAGCTCAAAACCCACTCACCAATATTAACGACGCCGAGAAGAAACTCTTGGCCGCCTGTGTGGAAGGTCTCAAGGGTAACATTTCTAAGGGTGTTACCTTTGCTAGAGCTCCTCCTCAACAAAAGTAGTTTCCCTATTTGATTTCTTTTTCTCTCTACTGTATCCTTTTCTACTTCTCTATTCCATTTCCTCTTTCTCTTCATCTCTGTTTCAAAAACATGAAAAGAATCAAGATGGATGGATGGAATGGAAATCATAGGCATAAAACCGAAAATGCTCGCTTGTTCCTTTTGACTGATTTTTGGCATCTTGCTTAGATAGGTTGTGAAAAGGTCTTTCGATTTTTCGATGAAGGATATGGAAGCTTTCTTTTCCTGATTTGATGTCTTCATTTCTTCATTTCCTTCGGATTTGTTTCGAGATTGAATTATGAAGACTGAGAGGGTAATGGGAAAGAGATGAGAAGATGGTTAAAGGAGAGAGGAAATGAGAATGAGAAGATGAATGAAAGAAATTAAATAATGAATAAAAAAATAGATATTGGGATCCATGGTATGGGATTGAGGGGATAGGATTGAGGGGATAGGAATCGATGGATGGATTGGGATCAATAAGATCAAGAGAGGAACGGTACGGGATTGATAGCATGCAATGAAATGAAAGTGATATTGTTAAACAAAGGTTAAGCAAATATTTGAACAAGGCTAGTAATTTATTCAAAATGATTAATCATTATGAAACTAATATTGACTTTTAACAAAATGATTAGAATAATAGTATTCTAAAATCATAGCTTTCTACCATAATCAGAGATAAACTCTAATATATATATATATATATATATAGTATATAATACAAAGCTGGAAACAGAATCGAATTTACATCTTTCTTTTTATGCTTTCAGATCTTCAATTCTAATAATGATTAGCTCGAAGCTATATCAAATAAAATATTTCTTTGTATTTTTTTGTACCAATAAAACTACCACATCACTACACTAGAACATACCGGAATCAAGGTGGCAAATAGAAAGTCTATATAATCATAGACTTCCCCCAACCTCTCTGTTAAAGAGAGAAAAATAAAATAAAAGGATATTATACTCAAGACATAAATAAGTTAGTCAGTAATGGATATATTGAAACTGATTTTTACTTAGATAATATGAATTTTCACTCAAATTTCAGAAAGAAAATGCCACCGGTGGAAAATGCCATGACTATAACTCCGTTACAAAAATATGTACTATTTGGCCGATAGTCTGGAGGTAGCCAAAAAATATTTCGCACTTCTTCATCTGATCTTTCAGCTATCCAATGGTTTGACTTAAAGTACCGTTCAAAGGCTGAGGATGCCTCTAAACCCGAATGATTTTTGAGAGTTTGAAGCGATTCGCCCGTGATCGCATCCCAAAGCCGGATTATCCTATCGTTTGAGCCTGAAGCTATCTTTGTACCATCTGGTGAGAAGGCAACTGATCTAACCCAATCCGAATGACCCTCGAGCGTTTGAAGTGATTCGCCCGTGATCGCATCCCAAAGCCGGATTGTCCTATCGTTTGAGCCTGAAGCTATCTTTGTACCATCTGGTGAGAAGGCAACTGTACTGACCGAATTCGAATGACCCTCGAGCGTTTGGAGGGCGGCACTCCAATTTGATCGTGTCCTTGATATTTTATAAATCCAACTCGGGATACATTTTTGAAATATTTTTCGAATAATACTATTCTCTGGAGCAAAGAAAAGGGCTGAGCAATAGATTTGAAGAGGAGCTTGTTCAATTCCTACTCGGTTATAAAGGACGAAGCGCTTGGCATCATGAATATAAGCGGAAAGTTCAGGAGCTTTCTCAACCTTCACATTTATCAGTTGAAGTTATTTGAAGCTATTTGAAGCTGTTGTGACTTACCGAGATGTAATTTTCTAAAGAACTTATTGCAACAATGCACCTAGAAATGTTTTCCATCAAGCTCATGACCTCCAACCAATGCAGCAAATGCTCTGTTAGAAAATTATAGACTTTGCCATTATTTTGAACATGGTTTTCTGTTTTTGGGGGATTTACATCTATAAAATGATTGACCCAATAGGTACATGAATATCGTATATACGCTAGTGGGTCAGGATCGGGTTGCTTGACTTTGTTAATAGGAAAACCTGGATGAGGCAAGTCGTATATGTTCTCTTTCAATATATTGCTCATTTCTGTTATCGAATTTAGAAATATCTTCTCATTTACCTTACCGATCCCATTTGGAAATATTGTCTCAGCAGCCTTTTTTGATAGGAAATCCTTTGCCGACTTGTGAACGAAGAAGATACTCTGATTACGAACGACCAGAAAGGAGCCACAAAGTTTAATGATTTCTTCCAAATCAATCTTCGATCCGATCAGACGTGGCAACTCGCAGAGCGTAATAGGTCGAAAGGCTACTACTACAATAGCTGTAAGCTGAAGGCAAAGCTCAGTTACTTCATGCTCTTTTATATCTAGAATTTGCTGTAGCATACGTTCGTATAAGGGATCCAACTCTGGAGGGTAATAATCTTGTAACATTGAAGTCGTGAAGAATCGAAGTTCTTGAAGATTTTGGCAGACCAAAGCCACCCAAAGGAAGGTTCCGTTCGCATTCTCTAGAAGATACGATTCAATTGTCGTTCTATTTTTTTTAATACTTTTTTTTATCTTTGCAAGCTTTTCCACTTTATCTCTTACATACCAATCGACAGCAATAGATACTGTGTAGGTATTTAATTCGAGATTGAGCGACGTTCTCTCCTCAATCGGCCCTAGTGCCTCTTCAATTTCAGACCAGTTACGACTAGAGACGAGCCACTTAACGCGAGGAAACTCAGTTAGACTGGAAACAATCAGGCGAAGTAATTTGACCATATTCTTTTCGCATTCGTCAAGTGCATCAATAATCAAGATTATTGGCTTCAAACTCTCATCATGCAAGATGTTCTTCAGAATATTAGAGAGCGCCACCCACGCATAATACCTTCAAATAACTGCTTCCCTGGAACCTCATATTCCTTTTGTAAATGCCGAATGAGTGAAGGCTGTTCATATAAAAGCATATAAATAAGGCCCACGTAGGACGGAGATAGCACTATTAATAGTATCGACGTTGCTTTGGCAAAAGAAATAGGCTAAGGTGTAATTATTTGATGTCCGTATTTCGTCTATGATACCACATAACAACATAGTCTTGCCCTTCCCAGGATCTCCTCTCACCCATAGCAAGCGGTTGCTTTGGTCGTTGTACCATTGTTGGTATTCCGTGTTTTGGAAGACCCATTCGTATACCTTAAAGAGCAGTCCTCCTTTAAGTTCCTCGATACGTTGTTTGTCCTTTCGTGGATCGGTGATGAACAGATCAATTAGGCAACACTTATCTAGAGAGGGCTCGATCACACCGTTGAGCCTCCTGAATGCATTATCCCTTCCCTCACCATAGATAACTGACATAGATACTTCGAAGATACCAAGCAAGCTATATGCTGCGTCTTCTTCTCTCATCGAAATTCGGTTTTCCGCCCATTTCATTCTATCATCAACACTAAACTTCGATAAAGGAACTCCTTGGAGCGCTTCAATAGCAATTCCCGTGATCTCATGTATAATCAACTTCAGAGATTCCCTGTCACCAAGCCTACAACAATCCCGTGAAAAGAACTCGATTGATATTGGAGCCAGGAGTTCTTGGAGCGTCCATCCTCTTGTAAACCATCGGCTGGCCCGAAAACGCCCTTCCCACACGCTTTGTGGTTGCTCTACACCATTTTGAACGACCTCTACATCTGATAAATAGACATAGCATTTTCTAGCCTTCCCATACCAGCGGAACATAGAGTTCAGAGATTCGGTCAACTCAGAGTCGCTCGTCTTTTTAATACAACAAGTATCCACCCAGAAATAATCGATGTTGTCACAAGCAGCCTGTTTTCCGCAAAACTGGATCTTCTCATAACCGGTTTTTGCTTTGCCATTACCTGAGTTTATATCTTCGAAATTGACTTCCTGTTCGTCACTTCCCCATGTATGTGAGAGAATTGCATAAGGAGGAATGCTGTTATCTAATAGTACTTTGGTGAGCCGATATCCGTCAGCATTATCGCACTCTAGCAAGCGCATTTTAGGATTTGGAGTATGCAAAGTTGAGAGACCAGTAGATAATGATAAATTACACAACAGGAATCAATATAGCGCTGATATCTTGAAGTTGCCCTTGATCATAGATTATCTCGAGAAATTTGTGTGACAACACAACTATTGTGAGGTGTTAAAGGTTATTACCTTTTGGAATGTGGGGTTATGCAGGTCAAGCTGACTCACGGCGAGAATGCTCCGACGTTACATCGTCTTTCTGGATGTATTGCCGACTTTCTCGCCATCATATGTATTATTACGATGATCTACAACATGGTTAGGGAAAAGATACTCTCCATATTTTTTTTTGGCACGGCTGTAAGCTGCAATGGTATTAGCTGGCTGAGAGGCTAATTTGTGTACAAGTGACCGTTCGGTAGCACTGATTGATTGATTGATTGATTAAATTAACGTCTACACTGAGTCTATGACTATCTAAGACGGCTAGGAGCTTTGTAGGCTTCTAACAATAATAAATGAAGGGTAGCTGGCCTTATTCGACCGTAGCTAATACAGGTTGGGGAGATTGAGAGCCTCAATCTTCTAATTGATTGATTGATTAAATTAACGTCTACACTGAGTCTATGACTATCTAAGACGGCTAGGAGCTTTGTAGGCTTCTAACAATAATAAATGGAGGGTAGCTGGCCTTATTCGACCGTAGCTAATACAGGTTGGGGAGATTGAAAGCCTCAATCTTCTAATGTTTGAATGGGGGAAGTGAAAACTAATACTAGGGAACCAAGCCCGCCTTACAGATACTCTCGTATTCAAGTAAGAGGAATAACAAATGAAATGTAATGAAATTTGACATTGGGGTGATTGCCCAAATTGACCAAATTGACCAAATTGACCAAAATGACCAAATTGACCAAATTGACTAAATTGACCAAATTGACCAAAATGACCAAAAAGACGCAAAATGACCAAATTGACTAAATTGACCAAATTGACTAAATTGACCAAATTGACCAAATGCCCATATTGATCAATTCAATCACAATCTTCCCGGTCCACCCCCTTCTTCTCCGCCTTCTTCCTCTTCTTCTTCATGCATTCTATTGAGATGCCATGATCTGGTGGCTATTCTCGTCGCCTCGATAAATTCGAGGGTCTTGATGATTCCTGCTTTAGTATGAAGCAGATATTTCATGGTAGGTCGGACTGTGGGGTTATCCTTATTGAGGGTTTTCCTTGCCATTTTATATAAAGGACAACTGAGCAGAAGATGATCAGGAGATTCCTTTCCCCCACATCTACAATTGTCATTAGAGGAGATACCGAATCGTTTCAAATAAGATTTGAAGTATCCGTGTCCAATTTTGAGTTGGAACAGAGCACAGATTGTGCTTCTTTTGATGTTTCCTGGAATTCTGATTTTTGAGCTGATCTTCCAGGGGTAGTTTCTTGAATATGTTGACGATGGTTGATGAAAGTTGTTAGTGTTAAGGATGGCTATCCAGTTCTCTGATTTCATTCTTTTTATATCTGTTGGTACGAGAAGGATACGGAAGACGTAGCACCCACGGATTATGTAGGTCCTGTATGTCTAATTGTATTCTGTCTAAAAGCTAGCTACATATTGAAAGTGGTAAGTCTTATATAGACTTACTAAAAGAGCTAGTCTCTTTCGCGTTCGCTTAGTTCTTTATTACAGTAGTAATTGAATTGAAGTCATTCACTTCGTTCACACAGTTTGATTCCAGCATTTAGCCTTACTTCTGGAGGGCACAATGCGGCTTCTATTTCCATTGGTTTTATTGGTGAGGTTTTGAATACTCCTAGGATTTTTCGAAGGGCGAGGTTTTGCAAGGATTGAAGGATTTTCTTGAATTGGTTTTGCCCTTTCCACCATAAAATTGAACCGTAATCAGCTATGCTGGTGACGCATGCCATATAGAGCTGTCTCATTGCCTTGGGACTAAGGCCTTTTTCAGAATTAGCAAGTCTAGCCATTCGGTAGAATGAGGTTTTAGCCTGGGTAGCTCGGATTGTGACATGTTGTTTGAAACTGAGGCCAGGGTCGAACCATATGCCTAGCCATCTGACTAGTGTTGACTCAATCTTCTAATGTTTGAATGGAGGAAGTGAAAACTAATACTAGGGAACCAAGCCCGCCTTACAGATACTCTCGTATTCAAGTAAGATGAATAACAAATGAAATGTAATGAAATTTGACATTGGGGTGATTGCCCAAATTGACCAAATTGACCAAAATGACCAAATTGACCAAAATGACCAAGTTGACCAAATTGACCAAATTGACCAAATTGACCAAATTGACTAAATTGTTGGTACGAGAAGGATATGGAAGACGTAGCACCCACGGATTACGTAGGTCCTGTATGTCTAATTGTATTCTGTCTAAAGAGCTAGCTACATATTGAAAGTAGTAAGTCTTATATAGACTTACTAAAAGAGCTAGTCTCTTTCGCGTTCGCTTAGTTCTTTATTACAGTAGTAATTGAATTAAAGTCATTCACTTCGTTCACACACAAATTGACCAAATTGACCAGAATTGATCAAGTCAATCACAATCTTCCGGTCTATCCCCTTCTTCTCCGCCTCCTTCCTCTTCTTCTTCATGCATTCTATTGAGATGCCATGATCTGGTGGCTATTCTCGTCGCCTCGATAAATTCGAGGGTCTTGATGATTCCTGCTTTAGTATGAAGCAGATATTTCATGGTAGGTCGGACTGTGGGATTATCCTTATTGAGGGTTTTCCTTACCGTTTTATATATAGGACAATTGAGCAGAAGATGATCAGGAGATTCCTTTCCCCCACATCTACAATTGTCATTAGAGGAGATACCGAATCGTTTCAAATAAGATTTAAAGTATCCATGTCCAATTTTGAGTTGGAACAGAGCACAGATTGTGCTTCTTTTGATGTTTCCTGGAACTCTGATTTTTGAGCTGATCTTCCAGGGGTAGTTTCTTGAATATGTTGACGATGGTTGATGAAAATTGTTAGTGTTAAGGATGGCTATCCAATTCTTTGATTTCATTCTTTTTATATCCATTCCAATGGAGGCATAACTGGTTTCGTGAGATGAGGATGGTATTTTGGTCGCCTCTTTTGCAAGAGAATCAGCTAGCTCATTTCCTTGTACAGATGTATGTCCGGGGACCCAATTGAGAGAGATTTCGGCTCCTTTATTTTGAATAGCTTCCGCAGCTTTTATAGCTTTGATTTGGCATGATTGACCAGGTAAATCGGAGAGGGTTTTCAACCGGAAAAATCCTGCTTGATTATCTGAGTATATCTTGAACTTGTTTCCTAATTAGGCTATTGAATTTGTGTATTCGATTGCTTTAGTAACTTCTAGGAGCTCGCCATTATAGACAAGCTGATTCACGCCTATATTGATAGTCTCTTGATGTGAAATTCGGCCATTTGGTAAGATGACTACTATCCCGATCCCAACCCCTATTCCCTCTAAAATGGATAAGGCATCGGTGTATATTGTAATGATATTTTTGCATCTATATTTGAAAGCCAGATTGTGGATCATCGCAGCTTCTTTTTTTCCTAATTTTCTGATATTGACTTTATATGGAACTTCTTTCTTCCAAGGAGGAAAGTAGAAATGATGGATTCCTTCCAAAGTGAAAGGATCGAAGTCTTTCTGAATTAAATTTTTGATCTTTTCGAGTTGAGTAGGTTTTAATTGCTTTCTTTGAGGGGTTGCAATTACATCTTGATTCTCCTTTTCTGTAGCCAGCTTTGTAGTTACTAAATTGATAGGATGAGAAGGCGAGATTTTCAATAATCTAAATGCGTATTGTTTGATTCCAGCATTTAGCCGTACTTCTGGAGGGCACAATGCGGCTTCTATTTCCATTGGTTTTATTGGTGAGGTTTTGAATACTCCTAGGATTTTTCGAAGGGCGAGGTTTTGCAAGGATTGAAGGATTTTCTTGAATTGGTTTTGCCCTTTCCACCATAAAATTGAACCGTAGTCAGCTATGCTGGTGACGCATGCCATATAGAGCTGTCTCATTGCCTTGGGACTAAGGCCTTTTTCAGAATTAGCAAGTCTAGCCATTCGGTAGAATGAGGTTTTAGCCTGGGTAGCTCGGATTGTGACATGTTGTTTGAAACTGAGGCCAGGGTCGAACCATATGTCTAGCAATCTGATTAGTGTTGAGGGTTGAATTATCTCCTCGTTCGGAAGCTTGATTGGGGCTGTCTTCGTATCTTTGGATGTAGAGAAGTGTATTAGTTCCGTCTTCGCTAGATCAAATTGAATAGCATTTTCTTTGCCCAGAGCATATATCTGTTTAGTTGCTCTTTCGAGGCAGATGATGTTCTTTTTCCAGGATGTTGAAAATGTTGTTAAAGCTATATCATCTATATATGAGAGATATTTGATCGAATTTGCTGAGAATAGATCTCGAATATAAATTAAGAAGAGGATTGGCGAAATAGGGCTGCCTTGGGGGGATCCCGGTATTGATTGGTTTGAAGGTTTCAGTTTGGCCATCGAATGAGAGTTTGAGTAGCCTTTTCTTCAAAAAGAATGAGATCCAGGCGATTAGGTTGGTTGGGAGGTCTAGATTCTTGTAGATATCTAATAGTCTGTTTATGGATACATAATCAAAGGTGTTTTTAATGTCCAGGAAGAGAGTCGAGGTTTTCTTCTTGGATCTTGGATTTCTTTCGATTTCGGTAGTGAGTAAGATTGCTGTATCGATAACTGATTTCTTTTGTCTTCCACCCATTTGAGAGTAATGAAGTAATTGCGTAGTCTCCGCTAAATAGCTAAGCCTTTGAGCCAGAATTCTTTCACTTATCTTGCCTAGGTGTTGGGTTTCTTAAGACCAGAAAGAGTATCAGATTGAATTGATTTATTCTCTAGCTAAGCAGTTAAGCTGCGAGCATATATTCAAAAAAATGAAGGAATAAGGTTAGGTATTCAGCCTTCGGAATTAAAGTGCTTTGAAATCAAAATATTGAAAGCAAACAAACAGTATACCGAAAAGGAAAGAATGAATTAAAAGTTGAGTTTTGTTTGCTCCTTATATGCATCATGCAATATATATGCATATGCTGCCAAGATCCCAGGAGGTCAACAGTTTTCCCTTTGTAACTAGGTTCCATTCTCCTGAGGTTTTGGTGATAGTGGCATAGTTGGCTTTGGTTCCAGGGGTGTTTATTGTAGGGGGGATTGTATGATTGGGGAGGTTTGAAAGGTGGTTGGCTTGCTTTTCGATCCGTTTGGTAGCATTTTCTAGATGGGAGATTTGTGATGTGATGATATTTGAGGCTTTTGTGAGTTTTCCTTTTTCAAGATATTCACGAAATATTTCGATTAAGTCTAGGACTTTCGATTGTTCTTCGGTATCCTCTTCTAGGGAGGCAGCTAGAATGAGTAGACTTCTAGCTTTTTGGATAGCTTCTTTTGGTGAGTTGATATGGGGTTCTGAGTGGCTGGGTTGTCGTCTTCGTTTTTTATTGAATTGGAACGTTGGGCGATTGATTGGTGATTTGAATGGATCATCAGAGCTCAAGGTATTGCGTTGGGTTTGAAAGTTGAAGGGTTGGGAGGGGGTAGGACTGGAAAGGATGAATGGCGGGCTATTGTCTCTTTCATGGGTTTGTTCAGTGTGGTTCACTTGGCATGGAGTGCCTAAGATCACTTCTGGGAATTTCGATTGGGTGGTCCCCGTCATTGAGTTCTCTTCCCTCGTAATGGAGGGATGAAGGGGGTGAAAATTTCACGCGTTTTAGCGTGGTTTCACGTGTTTCGGACGTCGACGACAGTATCACAACAACTACTGGTTCAATTTCTTTGGGGACAATTGCGTTCGATTGATGCTGATTTGTTTAGTGCAAATGAGATATAAAAAGGGTGTATTTCGAAAAATAATTTTTCTTCAAAATTTGTTGTGTGTAAGAACTCCATCAAATAGATCAATATCAGCCGATCCTGATATATGGCAATCTCAAACACCTCACAATCCAACTGAAGCTCTTTCCCAATCCACTTTAGTGAAAAGTCGTATTGCTCAGAATCAAGGGAGCTCACCTACTCCAATATTTGAAACAGTTGCAGCTTTAGCTAAGGGTACAGAGCTCCTAGCTCATGCGAATACGCTTTTAACTGCTGAGGTTTATAATCTCCGCAAAGCAAATGAAGCACTTAGTAAACGCTGGAGAGCTAGAAAAGCTTTAATACGAAAAGGAGGAGCACTTTCAATAGAAGATGGGTATAGTATATTAGAACAAGAGAATGTAGAAGATCAGATACAACACGACGAATATACAAATGATGGTTCTTCAGCAAAGAGGCAAGCTACTATACGACGATGTAGCAAATGCAATAGTACTTTACATAATGCATGAACTTGTCAGTTCGATCCAGCATTAGTTGATCTTTAGATTGTATATAATTCAATCCTAATTTATGGTGTTGTTGTAATTTTATTTTAATGGAATGTGGGTAATTGAGGTAAAAGTGTTCCGGTTACTGATATGTTCCGGTTACTGATAAACCACGTTATTTGAGGTTTCTTATATAAAGGTGGGAGGAAAGCAGGGGTTTCCGTTACAGAAGTCCTTTTCTTAATTCTCAAGCTTTCTACAAGTTTCTTTATCTTTTAATTAGGATGGCTCAAATTTTACACTTTGTTCATTAGTCAATTCTTATTTTTTTTATTTTGATATCAAGCTATTTTAGGGGGAGTTTTCTTAGGCTTTTTATCTGTTACGAGTATCTTGCCTAATAAAACCAACGATAATGTTACGTGGTAACAGATAACCCGATAAGAGGAGCTTAGACCAAGAGAAAAAGCGCAGAAGATGTTACCGAATTAGTATGGTAATTCGGCCCTCTCTGCTTCATAGCGTCTCCCCATGAGCAGAAACCCTTATCATAGGTTCTGATCACCTCGATTCATATGATCACGCATTATCAAGAGTCACATGCAAAGTCGACGGCCAATGTCGATTATCGACTTCAGGAAGAACAATAAAGCATAGAGATCTATATATTCAGCATGAATTCCTTTTGTAGAGCTTCGTGCTCAAAATCAATCATTTAGTATTTACATTACTGCAACTATCCGAATGATGGTGATTCGTGACAAGAAGCCCCTGGCACGTGCTATATAATCTTAGTAAAAAGCGGGCTACATTATTAGCCAATAATAATCGAATTTTGAATACCGGCGGTATTTCAACTCCGTCTCTTATTGGCTTGAGAATATCTTATTAAGACGTCAAATATATTCAGGAGTTTATATAGTAAATATCTACTGGAAGATTTCTATCGAGCCCCAGTTTGACGGAAACCTATAAACAATCAGAACACATGATTGCATTATCTCGGATTAGTATGGGAAAATCGTTGTTCCACGATCGCATATTCTACTCCAGAATATAGCAGTATGATCGATACCAACATGTATACCGAGTATTCGATTCATTTCGAATTTTCTATTATGTCAGAGTATTTGTTAGATTAAATGAGTTGAAATCTACTAATAGAAATCTAGTAGTAAAGTTTTCTTAAACAGACTTAAGCTACATTAAGATTTATATTGTTAGAAATCTACTGGTAGAAATCGACTGGTAGAAGTTTTCTTAAAAGACTTAAACTATATTAAGATCTTTTGCTATTGAAGTCTACTGTTAGAAATCTACTGTTAGAAATCTAGTGGAAATCTATTTTCAGCTTGCTTTATTGACTCCATGTAAGACGTATTATTTCTGTTAGTATACTTCTCTCGATAGAATTCTACTAATAGTAAAATTGTAATAAAATCTGTGGCTGCCAAACATATGACAGCAGCGTTTATGGCTGGATATGATCTTGCCGGAAATTCCCGCTTCCCGATATTCTCCGAGCAGAGCAAAGAGTGGCCCGTGCGAAAGAAGTCCCTCTTTCAGCGACCTTGGATGCCTTCATAACTGTCCTGTCCTCTTAATCCCTATCTATAGCATCTTATTGCTCTTTGACTTTATAGAAGTTGGTATTTCAACAATAAGAGATAAATTTCTCTCAGAATCCAGTCTGTAATGGATAAGGTTTCCATAAAATGAAGTGTCTTTTGTGTTCTGTCTGCCTTCGCCATGTAAATGGCTGACCAGGTTACGATACGATACAACCTCATCAGCAACGCCTACGACTACAACTGCATATCCTTCTTATGCTCAGTTCTTCAACGTTCCAACCTTCAAAATCCCGATCTTCAAATCGTAGTGCTTGCGTCAATTTGCTGAATTAGTGATATAAGTCGCGCTTGCTATACAATCGCTTGTAAATCTCCAGTATGTCCTTTATACGCCTCTTGCAACGCAAACCCAATGGCGAGATCGTCTTTCGTGAATTTACCAGCAGCGAAGTCCCTACCTACGCAATACTCTCTCATACCTGGGGAGAAGAGGAGGTTGTCTATCAAGACTTGAAAAAAAGCAAGAACAAGAGCAAGACTATAAATAAGGCTGGGTGGAGGAAGATACAGTTCTGCACGAAGCAAGCCGCAGTAGATGGACTGGAATACTTCTGGGTTGATACCTGCTGCATCGATAAGAAGAATTCGGTCGAGCTTAACGCGGCGATCAACTCCATGTTTCGGTGGTATCAGAATGCTGCACGCTGCTACGTCTACCTTTCGGATGTCTCCAAGCCCGACACTGGGGTAGATGACCAGAGGGCATGGGAGGAAGCTTTCAGGAAGAGTCGTTGGTTCACTCGAGGCTGGACGCTTCAGGAGCTTATTGCACCAAGGCTGGTTGACTTCTTTTGTTGGGTTTCTTAAGACCAGAAAGAGTATCAGATTGAATTGATTTATTCTCTAGCTAAGCAGTTAAGCTGCGAGTATATATTAAAAAAAAAAAATGAAGGAATAGGTTAGGTATTCGGCCTTCGGAATTAAAGTGCTTTGAAATCAAAATATTGAAAGCAAACAAACAGTATACCAAAAAGGAAAGAATGAATTAAAAGTTGAGTTTTGTTTGCTCCTTATATGCATATGTACTATATATGCATATGCTGCCAAGATCCCAGGAGGTCAACATCTTTAGCTCGGAGGGTAGGCGACTTGGAAACAAGTTGTCGCTTGAGTCTGAGATACACGAAATTACCGGTATCGCAAACAAAGCTCTTCGAGGTGATGCATTGTCAAATTTTAGCATCAAAGAGCGGAGATCATAGGTAGAGCACTGTAATACTACTATTGAAGAAGATGAAGCCTACTGCTTAATCGGGATCTTCGATGTATCTATGGTGCTAAATTATGGCGAGAGAAGGGACCAGGCATTTAGGCAATTGGAGGATAAGATTCACAGGATGTATAAGGGTCAGTTGTTTATATAGATGTACTAACTAAAGCAACGAAACTGACGAGTACAGGGGTCGATTTTGAGCAATTTGCTGTTGAGCTCAACCTCGCGTCATTTCCCGAAGCTACACAGCTTGTCGCTAGAGAGAAGGAGCTATCGGAAATGCACGAGCTACTTCAAGATCACAGTATTCGATCCTGTGTCATCCTCCATGGTCTTGGGGGTATGGGAAAGACTCAGCTAGCGACCACATATGCCGGACGACACAAGGAGAAATATACGGCGATCTTCTGGCTGAACGAGAATGACGAAGACTCACTCAAGCTGAGCTTTCGGGACATTGCTCAGCAGGTGCTGAGACATCATCCTTCTACCAGTATACTATCCAGCATAGACCAAGATAAAGACCTCGATCAAATTATTAGTGAAGTCAAGGGCTGGCTTGACTCCCCGCAGAACACAAAGTGGCTAATGATCTACGATAACTTCGATAATCCTAAAAGATCTGACAATCCCGACAACTCAGCAGTCGATATACGTCAATTCCTCCCTCATTCTGATCACGGCTCGATCATCATTACGACACGATCATCACAGGTTAAGCAGGGTATACGAATTCATGTTCAGAAGCTAGATGTCAGGGAAGGTCTTGAGATTGTGTCTAATATGTCAGGACGTAAGGGTATTGAAAAGGGTATGTTGGTATAATTGATAGTGGAAAAAAGTATAATACTAATAAGGCAGATTCTGATGCTATAGCGCTCGTCAAGGAACTCGACGGCCTACCACTTGCTTTATCTACAGCAGGGGTATATCTCGAGCACGTAACGACAAGCTTCTCGGATTATCTTCAGCTCTATAAGACATCATGGTTGAAGCTTCAGATGACAAGTCCCCTATTGGATTCCTATGTAGATCGTAAACTATGTACGACATGGCAGATCACTTTCGATCGGATCCAACAGCAGAATAAAGCATCAGCAAAACTACACAAGCTATGGGCATATTTTCATCGAGAGGATCTGTGGCTTGACCTCGGCATGCAAACTCTGTAGACGATGAATGGATACAGAAGCTTACGAAGGACGAACTGAAATTTAATGAGGCCATCACTCTACTATGTACCTTCGGATTAGTTGATCCAGACAGGTCTCCCCAGCAGCAGGTCGGGGCTAGAGGGTATAGTGTGCATAGTTGTGTCCACTCGTGGATAGTGTTTGTGCTTAACAAGGGGTGGGACAAGAGCCTTGCACATTTGGCTTTAACCTGTGTAGCCTCGGAGGTTCCTGATACAAATGAAAAGTACTGGTGGCTCTCACAGCGGCGTCTTCTTCAACACGCAACACGACAGGCCTTCTTTATAGAAGACGCCAAGGTAGATATAGACAGACTATATTGGGAGTTTCACAACCTAGGCGACCTCTACAGAGATCAAGGCAAGCTAGCAGAGGCAGAGATGATGTATCTTCGAGCGCTGGAAGGTAGAGAGAAGGCACTTGGACCAGATCACACATCAACACTCCAAACAGTCAACAACCTAGGTATTCTCTACAGAAACCAAGGCAAGCTAGCAGAGGCAGAGATGATGTATCTTCGAGCACTGGAAGGCTATGAGAACGCTCTTGGTCTTGAACTTGCCTCGTCTTATCTACCGGCGTTGAACACTATGTTCAACTTTGGAGACCTCTTCTCGCAAACTGACCGGAAAGACATGGCAAGGGCAATGTATAATCGAGCATTGTCTGGATACACAACCGTCCAAGGGCCTTCCTCTAAATTGTCTAGGCAAATTGAAGATCGGCTTCAAGCGTTGCAAGTTGCGTCTGCTGGGTCGAATGTAGGTCGAAATGAGTTTACAGAGCCTGGAGTAGCAAATTCGAGGTCTTTGAAGCAGAAAATCCGCAAGCTAGGAAGGTGGCTGAACATTAGATAAGCTACAAGGGCTTCTTTCTTATGGTTCTGCCATTAACTTACAAGTATTAATGTAATTAGAGATACCAGATCAGACATCTCTTTTAACTTCTGGTCCAGAATCGACCGCTGTTGTAATGACCCTGCATAGCCATTCTTCTCCTCACTGGCGCCGAACAATAGAAGCTTACTAAGCTATTGGCCGATTTTGGTCGAGCTGCTGGTCGGTGCTGAAAAAGATGAAAAGCGACATTAATTTCACTTCTGATGAACAGTATAGTATCCTTTACATTATTCTTTCATTTATGCCCCAATAGTATCCTCACAGCTGATCACTTTACTATAGAACAGTAAGCCTCTTCGATATTCAGCCCTAGAGCCAAGAGGAATCCCGCCTTTGCAGTGGTGGATAGATCGCCAACGAATTCCATGATGACCTGATGACAGAATCTGTAAGGGTTGCAAGAGTGCCAAGAGGAGCACGGTATCAGCGCACCAGACCGCGATGACCTAGCAAAGACGTTGAGAGTAGCTCAGACGATGACGACATAGCAAGACAACGGTATACTCGGTGACAAGAGGCAACACTACCCGAGATACATAACAAAGGCATAACGACAACAGGCACAATAGCGGGCACAATGATAGCAAGCAATGGTCATCGCAGGGTATAATGGGAGAATCATTGTAGAGCAAGTACAGCAGTGACACCAAAGGCTTATACAACCCATTATATCAGAAACCAATGCAGATTAATATTAACTCTACTTTATAGCAACAAGTCTCGAAGGCAGCACGAGCTTACCTCAACCAAGGATCAATTTTATCAACTTTATTAAAATATCGTGCGGCAGTCTCTCGATAAGCTGCCTTGAGTGGAGCAAACACTGCTACATCACAAAGTTGGAGCTTGTAGGAGATATGGGAGGGGAGACGACATAAAAGAATATTATTCTCGAAACAGAACTCTAAGATTTCGAGGGTCTCGTGCGTTCCAAAGCCGTCGCAGATTAAGACACGTGGTTTCTTGTTAGCTCGTTCTATGGTTTCGGGATCAAATACACACTTGAGCCACTCTAGACTGATCTTAGAGTCGGTGTATCCAGAGTCAGAGCACGCATATTGCCATTTAGGGGTAGGGAACATGGTCCAGTTGCTTCGATGGGAATTCGCTGGCCAAATAATCATGGGGTTTAAATACCTATCATCATCACTAATGCATTCGATCGCAGTCACAGTGGTGCGCTTGACTCGCGCGTCTTTATAATCTCGTATGTCGTGCTTACTTACAAGGACTTTGACAGAGCCTGGCATGGATAGCATCACTCCAGTCTCGTCCATGTTATACACATTTTCGGCTAGGACGGCCGGATCTTGTAATACATATTTTATCACCTCAAACCAGTGTATGATCTTCCCATAAGCGTTTTTCTCGTGACGGTTCCAGTCCAACACTTTGACTCTTCGTGCTATGAGTTCTGGATGGCGTTTCTCTAGAGCCTTTGTCCAATTCCGACCGGGAGGCCTGAGAGGTCTGTCGGTTGCAGGTCGATGATGGGTGACTCTAAAAGCTATAAAAGGGATAAACTTCATTCGTATCGGTTCTCCAAGGACGGACATTTGTACCAAATACTTAACAACAATATCTTCTTCATATGGTTTGACATATTATTGGCCTCGCGCCTTCTTTTCTATCGATGGTCTTCTGCAAGCACAATAATGGAGTGTAGAATGAGGGATGTTGTTATGATCTCCAAGAGTACGGTGTGATCTAGGCATGCTAAGAGGTACGTATGCTAGGACTTGACTGGCTCTATCCATATTATCCTGTTGTTGTGATGGTGATATAGAAAGAGACGAGAGACGGCGCCCAGGCATTAGGGTGCTGCCGCCTGCTGATAGAATGTTTGAGAAACCTGCACTTACACCACATACATGACTATTATACGCTACATACGTGCTATGACTTGAGGTCGTCTCCTCATATCGGAGTAACTCCCGGACTACATTATTTTCCTCATTAAGTATCTTCAAAATTTGAGAGCTATACTCTTTGGATATAGAACCTTTCCCCAAGTGCTCCGAATTTTAAAAAACTATAATAGTCGTGATCAAGCAGAGGGGAACAGTCGAAGCGGCGATTGGTGGTGTTCTTAAGATGATCGATAGTATAATCAACCACAGTCTTTTTCTTATTGCTAAATGGTTTCCTTAGAGACAAATAGTTATAGAAAGTGGCATATTAATAACAACTTCGTAGACTTACTAAGAAAAGATTTATGATTCCAAAACTATAGATTCGTCTCGTGACAGGGTGCGTCTCGCTACACTGGGATAGACGTTAGTATTGGGGGTAGATTATATAATCTATATATTATGTGAAATTGATACAGATAGATAGGCAAATACATTACGATAAACAAATTATTGATTCAGCTATCAATCAGCTATTTAAAGTATATTTTGTATTATACAGAACAAATTCATTTTGTAAGGTGCATTATTCTAGCATAGAATTTTGGTAAGGGCAAACTTCCTATAGCTTTGAGGATCCCAAGATTCTGAGAGTTCTGAGGAACCTGTCCTAGATATAAATTTATCCTGAATAAAAAATCCTGACTTGAATTTTCATCCAGGACAAATAGCCTAGGCCTTCAGAACATCTCAGGGTCACCTAGATCATAGGAGTGGTATTGCTGTAGGACATCGTTTATAGGACAGGGTGCATAGGACACATCTCCTATGGCTGTATATTTCCCAGATGATTATATGGCCCAAATTGTTTGTCCTAAACACCCTCTTATCCTAGGACAAATATCCTAGGACAAATCTAATCCTAGGATTATTGTACTAGCACGGTTATCACACTAGGACTACTTCAGTCATAGGGCCAGTGTCCTATCTAATCTTGTATCACAGGACAATATTCCTAGAGTACAAGGCACTCCAGGTTCCCCAAATTCCATATTACAAAGTAACAGCTTATCTGTCTATATGAGCTTGGACCGCAGACAAAAGCACAGCAAATTTGTATAGTATACCTGCTTATTCTGCTGCATAAGGTCTCCCCACCTTCAGTAAGTACGGACATCGAGTCTTACCCAAAGGCATGTGATTAAGGAATCCCATCGAGGTGAGATTTCCTATCGTGGGAGAGCAGTGGGATGTATAATACAAAGGTCTATATTAACAGAACGGATTTCCTTACTGTAGAGCTTCGTGCTCAAGATCAATCATTTAGTATAATCTACTATTAGTTACGAATTGTAATCATTCACTATTGTTACTTAAGTCCCTGCTTGACGCCTAGTTATAAACCACCTCGAGAGCCTAGAACACCTCCACGTGATCTAGACGGCAAACCTCGTAACACAAAGTATAAATACACCAAATTGACCAAAATTGACCAAATTTTACGGCAAACTGCGGTTTGGCCTGGAGGTGATACTAAATTGATTAGTCTTGTTTCATTTCCTCCTTTACATTAAGTCATGCCTCGATAAAGGTCTAGCTAGTCCATCTACTAATATAAACCTTTGTCATCACTCATGTATAGTTGGACGAAGGGGTGCGATGTTGAGAGAGAAGGATCCTGTCCTCAATAATCCAGGAATTTGTCTATTATAGAAATTTGATAAATATGAATGATAAATTAAAAATAGATTCAAAGTAGAAACCTCAATCTGATGTCCTAAGTTGCCACAATACTCTTGCCTCTATCAATGGTCAATCTTATCCTAACTCGAATCTTCAAGAAACCATCACCAAGCCTCTTCAATTCCACTTTACCATCATTACCTACTTCAACGTCTATCATAGCACTAGGGGAAAAAAACAACGCTTCACCAACCTTTAGCTTTACAATTTCGGCAAACAATCTTTTTGCACCATCCCCGTTTCCTCTTGAACTCGCAAGACCATCTGAATCTGTATTGTCATAATCAAGCAAATTAGAAGTAGCATCTACAAGGTGGCGTTTCAAGCTATTCAATCATTCGGGTGAAGTGAATCGATGCATAATAACAATTGAAGATAGATCCAAAAGCAAAGAAGAAATTGTTGGTTCTTATATAGAGATAGTAATACAAGCGCCAAGGTGACGTTATAGTCGAACAATAGAGAGGAGGGTATTCGTCAGAGTTGATGCTTCAGCTGAGGTGTTCATATACTATAAGCCATCAATAATTAGCGCTTCAACTTAGACTGAAGGATAAAGGTACTTTAGCACCGTTTTTCTTACTTTATGGGCCTCATCTAGCACGATAACTCGACCTACATTTAAACTTTGTTCGAGAAAGATACTCAAACAGATATTGAATAAGGAGCAAGCCCCTTCCGACGTAATACAAGGATATAAGAGGTCTACAATGGTAAGGCGGCCAGGCTATGTCTATTAGAGATTTATGCGAAAAAGAGTATAGGTTGAACAAACCTCGGGAGTCCAATCGTTCCCAGTCTTGACTGCAGCCTTTCCCCTTTCCTTGCCCTTTCCCCGAAACCCACCTCTTCTCATATACGATTGCTCGGCACCCGTTTATGCTTTAGGCATAAAGCTCTCTAGTGTATCAAGCCGTTGGTTGAGCGGTCCCCAATTGGGCAGGAGTCATACCGGTATCTATAAGCCGCAGCTTAAAGCTTTGATAATCGAATGTAGTATTGACCTCCTGCTGCTCGATGCGCATATCTCGCAGGATTCGATTCACTATATGCAAATATAATGACATCGGTCCATCATCTTGGCTCACCGCCATAAGGTCTAGCATACGCTTTGTATTGAGATCACTTTCATTGATACGCAATGGTTCAATCTGAACGTTCAAACTATAATACGCTCGCTTTAAGAAACGTTAATTAGCCTCAATTTCTATCAGAGCTTTGAGAACTTACTTGGATAATGCGTATGTTTGCAGCGGAAGCCCTGACCAAGTTACCCTTCCGATGGACTGTTGATCCTTTTCAAGTTGTCACATCGATCCCTAACACCATATTCGATAGTGTTAGGGTCGAAGGCTAATGCTATGCACAGTTTGTACATGATTCTTGAAGTGCTGCGAGTGTTTAAGAATAAGCCCTTCCGATTGGCAAACAGGATGAGTACAGGATATTCTCTAGAATTTCGGAACATCTTTCAGATGGCTATCCACATGGTTCATCATTTTGTGTAAAGTGACATAAGTACGTGTCCGATACTTATAAGTACTTCGATTGTCTCCGATACATATAATGCATTGGGTCTTTTTACAAAGAAGGGGAAAGGGGTCCTCGCACAAAGGTTGTTCCTCAGAAAACTCTGAAGATTCCCTACTCGAGTGATTGCTATGCTGAATCTTTTGTTCCTGTCGACAAGAGAGTGCTACAATTAAGTTAATGATACGGATCCGGCAGCTAACGATATCGCTTGGGCTCATGTCCCTCGAGAGATCACAAAGCACCTCTTGGAGTCGAGTTCATTCTGGAAGCTGGTGATGGACGACAGGTTCAACATATTCGTTTGTAGGGACCTTTTTGAGTTGCCTCTCTAACTCTTCATTATGGATACGATCGAAATAATCTCGCCGGAACTCTGTCTTGATAGCTCGATCACGTTGTTTCTGTAAAGAATCAATCTGCCGACGGAGTTGTTCACATTCTTTGCGGATTTCAGGTGGAGCTCGACTATAGGATCTATATTGCCTTTTGTATTCCTCACGTTCTCTTTTAAGTTCCATTATCTCTGGATCCGGAGGGAGGGCTTTCAAAATCTCTTCAGGCACATCGTTTGGGGCACGCGGATCACATGTGAGACTCATGTGTAATGGCACGGAGAAATCCGATATTCGTTGGCTGGTCTAATATCGCATCTTGAACGATAAACCGGACCTTTTCGTTGATATAGGATCCGCAAAAGACTCCTATCTGAGGGTTATGCCTCATCACCTGGTCACGTACAACAGTTGTAGCTGCCCCTAGAAGATGTCAGCAAGAATACAAAGTATTTACAGAAATCTCTTACCATCTACAGCATTCCCAGTACCTCGACGGAAACAATAGCTAGTTAGTTTCTGTGCAAATCCGGCAGCCCAGTCAAGATGGTCAAGGTAATAGGCAAAGGTCGAGTAACGAAGGCCTTATATTCTGATGTTGATAGACCATCAAATGTCCATACCGCCTGCCGAAAGATCGGTATTTTGAGTTTCTCTAGCTTCCAATGCACTAGAACTGCTTTTGTAGGGTCTTGTAGATTGCTTGTAAAAAATGGTTCGGCGTGAATAAATCCGTCTACCTTGATTGCATTATCCCTGATGGCAATAGCTAAGATATGGCTAACAGGACAAAGAATTGGTAAAGCTTCTTCGTGAAAAAGGAATATAGTCCTACGAATATTACGTTAGCAAGATCAAAACACATCAAATCAAGAACGTACAGTTTGGGTTTCCTATCAGCTCCTTTGTGATGAGCAAGAGTGATCTCTATTCCGAGGAGATCGCGTTCTCCAAAAATAGGATTTCGGACAATCCAAAGACGGATATCTTCATAACAGAGAGCTTTATATTCTCGTGTAAGAATATCCTGATCATCCTTATCATCGCAATCGGAGATCTTTGGTCGACCCAAGACTCTGGATTCTCATATATAGGATCATCATCTTTCGTCTCATCCAAGCCCTCACATTCATCATCCCAATTGTCGTCTTCATATGTTTGATCGCGACCAATAGCAATTTTCCCTTTGGCTGCATCAACCAACTTGGCGGGTCGACAGCCGGTATAGATAAGGAGGAGCATGATTGTTGTAAGTGCCAAACGCTGATCTCCGGTTGGAAAAATAGATGTGTCCCGGGCCCAATGATGGGTGAGTATATAATATATAAAACTATTTATAATACAAAGTTTTTTAACTTCTTTTGTTATTTATATTTATATTTACACTAATATATATATACATACATCTAGTCCACATACACTATGATGCTCGTAAGAGGTAAGATTACAAAGTGAGTAAATAGATAAACGCCTTATATGCAAATCATATACATCCATCCGTCCATCCTCGTATTAATCCATTTCAAACCACCCGTCATTTTCTAAACCGACATGAATTTGCATTCTGTTCCATACCATTCCATTCCATTTCATGCAATATATACAACCCACTGCACCTCAAGTTCTATTATCCCCATCCAATGACCGTCCAAAACATCCCCGTTTTAATACACCAAATTAATCGTCCTTGTACTTCATATCTCATCTAATTCTTCTTCTTCTCCCCAACATCATAAACTCTATCATCTACTCCCTCAGCCTCTAAAACTTGTTTTTCCATTTCCGCAACTTGTCTCTCCCATTCCTTTTGACCCATCTTACTTTCCCTTCTGAAAAGTTCCTCGTTAGGTTTTCTGTAACTACCTCCTAGACGATCCCACAATGTCGTATATTGACCATAATTATAGTTAAAGTAAAGATGATGCATAGTATGACAAGCTGCTCCATTAAGAATAGGAGAATTGGCTACATATTCACCATCATGGATAAAAACCGTCCAGATCTGAACAAAGAAGAAAAGACCCAGGTAGGCGAATTTCTGAAGTGGGAAGATGAAGGGGAAGACGTGGTAAGGAAGTGATTGCATCCAACCATCAACGGGGTGGAAAGCAATGGAGGCGTATGGAGTTGGCATAATCCATTTATGATGTGGCTTATGGAGAGTTTTGTAGACCGAAGGATGGTGTAGACCTCGATGGATGAAGTAGACGAAGCAATCGGTGAAGGCTAGGAAGAGTGGGAATTGAAACCAATTATACCATGAACCAGGTCCTTCAGATGTAAGGTCGTAAAGTTTGGAGTAACCTCTTACTTCTGCGAGGAAGAAAGGTGTAGTGAGGATAGACATCAATGGCATACTATTGCAAGCCTGGGAGATTTCCATGCGAATTTGATTTTTGAGGAATTTAGGATGTTGAAAGGTAGTTTTGTCGAAAACGAAGATGTAGGATAGAGTCGCGATTGTAAAGTAGAGAGCTGCACCTGCGATCCTATTTAACAATCAGTATTTGATATGTAATATACATCTCTTGGATGCCCGTCGAAAGTAATAAACATACCAAGTAATCAAGAACAATGAGAAAGCTTGTCGATAGATATTATCTCTATCCCATTGACTTGTGTATGCAGCATGGGTAGGTTCGAATTGCAAAAAAGAATTCGAAGGATGATATTGCCATGTTGAAGCTGTTTTCGCATTGAGAGTTGTCCCGTTAATTTGTTCCCCAATCGCATTTAACAATGGAGATTTCGCAGGTAGTAAGGCTGAATAGAAATGATCGAAGAAGTATTTATCGGTAAGTTCCAAAGCGATATCCATATTGACGATTCAGTCTCAGAGATATCTCTTCTGGTATGGGAGCAATTATCGTTTGTCGTAGAGGTGTTGTCAATTCTCTCGATTGATGAAGCTATTCGGAGGATGGATAGGAGGAGATAGGATTAAAGAAAGCCAAATGAATGGATTCTATTTTTCCTTTGAGATGAATTGGATTGTTGTTGTTCTGTGTTTTACCTAAGTAAAGCAATTGCACAAATTGAAATAAAAGAAAGACTTGGTGAGATGTTAGGTAGAGGAAGAGAGTAGCACAAAAAGGAGAGTGGCGGTATGATTTAATGCGTCAATCGGAAGTTTGGAGAAAATGGGATAAGGTTAGAGATTATATTATATATTTCAACAATTTTCTCTAATCGATAGACCCTCTTTTTTCTTTCCGAACCACCGGTGATTCTATTAGTATTGTATTGATCGATAACCTCATGGGAAATTTGACAAAATGAAACTCGGATCTAAGGGGTTTGAAAAAAGAAGGAAAAGAAAAACTCACTAGAATCCTTTTGGAAGTTCTATCTACATAATAGGTATAAAGTATCAATCCATTTAAAACTCCCAACGAATCAAAAGATGTCATGAACATTTTTCATTCGATCTGATAAAATTAGCTTACTCTTCTAGGGGCTCCATAATTGAATTTCTTAAATGAATCTCTTACGAGAAAGATGAGAATCTTTCGTTTATGGGGATGACTAGAGTGACATTCGAGTTTATGAGTTTATGGGAGAGTGAGGAGATTTATGGGCTGCTTGTTATCTAGGAGGTTAGAACTATCTAGATACCTATCTTACCTAAATCTAGGTACAAAGAGTCAAGTAGAGAGAGATTCATCATTGGTATAAATGACTATGTGACTACTAGGTATCCTATAAATCTTAACATCCGCTCTTCCCATCCCATCCATCCCATCCCATCCACCTCTCCGGCAATTTTCCCATCCGAATTCTTGAAATCAGCTCACCTGAAATATCAGTCCTCCGCACTCACTCCGAAATCCGCAGAAGATCTAAAATCCAAATCTCGTGTTCGGGTACGGAGGTATTTCTTCAAGCGATTTATTGTGATTGGTGACTCGGCTTCTCATTGAAGAATTATCTCCGTTGATTGTACCTGGTTTTTGAAGATTCAAGATTGAAGTACCCATGGATAGGTACCTAGGTAGCTATAGTAGATATTGAAATATTTCTATATCATCTCTTATCATCCCATCTCATCCCATCTCAATCTTCATTCCGTGTCTCATCCCCTCATCACCTAAGGAATATATAAAAACTACTCGACAGATTTCTTGATAGATATAATCAATCAATATCTATCGACCTATCGACCAACCTAGCCATCTACTAATCTATCTATCTATCTCCATCTCTCACCATAACATTACATAAATACACATCCGATCTCACCATCTCAAATATCGAATCAACCATCCAGCAAACCTAAAAACCTCACAAGAACTATCTACATCCAATAGAATATTCAAACACAAACATATCATCTTTAATGACAATACTACGAATTAGCTAATCATATTTCTCAAAGAAAATGATTTGATATCTTTCCCGTTACAAGGCCTTTGGGTCGACATCCTTTTTTTCTTCTGCTTTGCCTTGCTTGAAATCTGGGGATAGTGTCATGTTATATTATGTTATGTGTTGTGGTGAGACTTGTTAACACGGTAAAACCCTTACCGTGATACGATTGATTGATGTCGGAATGTAAGACTTGTGTGGATTTTCAATTCCGAGGAAGATATCTCCCCGAATAGCACCAAATATCAAGAATGTATCGTTTATATATGAACTTTAGACCTATTCCGTTCTGCAGTTCTACGCGTGTACTTTGTATTGACTCCAGATATTTGAATAAGTAGTAAGTTACCTAGATAATGTCAATAACAACACACCAGTGGCACCACATAGCGAACAATAAACAAAAAGATCCAAAAATCCACATCCACAAACCCTTCTAAAGCCCTACGTATACACAGTCCATTCAATCACGGCATCTGAAACCCCCAAATCCCGAACCCCTATTTCCCTCCTCCTCACAAATTCTTCACCCCCACTTCATCCCTCCATCACTCCATCCCATCCGTGATCGGTTATTTTCGGTTGGCAAATGATTCCGGGGCCGATAAAAAATTAATGATAATCCTGCGCATGTATTATCCGATTCGGTTCGATGCACATATTATCTCTTGCATTATTACCCATGTTTTTTCCCGATGATTGGTATGCTTATGCAGTATATATGCATCTAAGGAGTATGTATCCGAAAGACTAGGTATGTTTTGTTGGAGAATTCTGTACGGAGTATTGATAAAGTATCTAGGTACCTAACCTTAGATAAAGTCTGGGCGGTTCGAGCGCTTCTCTAATATACTTTTAGTCTTTAGATGATCATCTTATCCGAAATGATTATCGATAATGAATTTTGAGGCGCTTTGACGGAGGAGTTGTGTTGATCTGTACCTGTGTATTGTTGTACCGGTTGTAGTAAAATCTTAATGATGGGATGGCAGCTCGGTGATCATCAGTGATGTTGAGTCGTTGTTGACATAAACTCAATTCAACTTTCACGTACAGGTATTTGAGTTCGTCAACGTTGGCGGAGATATAAAGTGGTCAGTGTTGCCTAATCTAGTCTCATCTTTAGCTTATCCATGATGAGAAGTTGAAAGTGGTAGTCTGGTATCTTCTTTTATTATATTTCCTGATGATGGCGTCTTGCTGACTTCTAGGATTGTTTATACCTCATTAAGTATAACGCGGTGATACTAATGGATAATTTGTGTGTCTAGTAAGTAGCGTATGCAAGCAATTGAAGCTGTTATGGTGTCCGTTACATGTGGCTAGCTGGAATACTAAAATGATCAAGCAAAGTTAATATTGAGGTAGTGTGAATCCTATTTGGTTAGAGAATTGTTATTATATTTGTTTGATGAACTCACATTTGATTGATGACGAGTCAGACACTAGGTGTAAGTGTTGTCTGTTCCAGCTTCCCTGATGTCAATTGTTTGGTAACGAAAATAGGAATCGGTAGGGGATAATTTGATTCAATGATGAGGATGATACCGATGTCAATTTCAGAAATTAGCTCTAGCTTCCATAGAGGACAAGTTGACGATAAGAATAACTAAGATCAATTAGGTAGTATTCCCTTTCATCATATCTCATCTCATTTCCCAATCAAGGATCTTTTGAATTCTTTTCCGAAGATTCTCAATACTCCGTAAGGTTCCAAGAATTGACTTTTGACGAAAAAGAGAAAGAAGCGAGAGAATATCCAGCTGCACTTTTGAGTTTGAACCCTCTTTTATCCTTGTCAGTGATCCCTGTACCCACATTTGACCAGGATCTAATGACGGACTAACATGGGTCACAAACTAAGGTGAGAGGGAAGACCAGGTTTAAATTTAGTGTGGCTTTCCAGCATATGGGTTAGGTGAGTTATGAGCATTGGTCACATGATCTAGCCACATTTTGGGCGCCGATGCATTTTGATTCGTTACAATCATGACAAGATCAATTTCTCAAGTAAAAGAGAGAAAAGAGGAGAAGGAAAAGAAAAAGCTAAGCCCCAGCTAAACTAAAAAAGAAGGAGGGTTGTTACGCCGTACCTACCTAGCTAGTACTTGTAACCAGCATTGATTATTCTGACCATTTTATCAATTACCATTTCTCCGATTTCGACACTTTACTTTCTCCCACCATCAACTCAACATCAAAAATCAAGCCATCTCTTTCTTCTGTGCTTTGAACTAAAATCCACTTGCTTTGATCGTCGTACTTTTTCAAGTACAGCTTGGAGATTTAGTTCTTCCTCTTCTTCTTCCTCCTCTTCTGACTAGGTACTCCTACTACCACCACTACTGCTACCACTAACGGTACTAACTGAATCTGAGAGTGAACCAAACGAAGATTGATTGATTGATCATTCCTTTTGACCTCCACCCACATCCGCACCGCACCACACCACACCACACCACACTGCACTACACTACACTTACACTACACGCATCTTGCCTAACACGAACCACCAACACCAAACATCAACTCAATCCACATCAACAATATCGACTTGCTACATCTCCCGTCCAAGCATCACCGGCGCACACGCATCAACTTTTCATCCGATTCAATCACTACCTACTATCAAATTATCCTTATCAGCAAATTCTCAACTGCCGAATGCGATCAATAAGCTTTTTAATTCAATATTCACTTGGCATCGTTGAAATAGGTGTTGCGACAGAATTGACTTACTTGTATCCGAAAAAAAGTTCCAAGCGCGCATACCTCATAACTTAACTGCACACTTCAAATCACGGACTGCAAACTATAAGGCAAGCTGCGGCGCACAATCCATAAGTAAGTATTCCATTAATCTTCTCTAACCTTATACCCTTCTTCCCTTTCAACTTTATTTTGCCTTACCTTGGCGCAACGCAAGAAAACTGCTTACCTCAAATGAGGCTGATATCCTCATCCTTCCAATTTAAGCTTGCTGACCATCAGAAGGAATATCAACCAAAACAGTTTTAATCCCACATCAAACCTTCCTCTATACGCAATGTCTATGTACAATCATCGCGGTTTGGGTCCCGCCCCAGGCAGCGCTCGATTGAATGAATTGCTGGATGGCATTCGCGCTGAATTCGAAACTCAACAACGAGCAAGTGGGGAATATGAGCATAATAGTGAGTCGCGCATCAGATGGTTGAAGGGTTGATGAGGGATGTTCAATGGCTGAGTGTGGGAGGAATTCTCTCCAGATTCCGCCTCGCCGTGGTCATGATCTTATAATCGGCGCGATGCTAACATGTCTTTCTTAGTTGCACAACAAATACAAGAAATGCAAATGGTTAGGGAGAAAGTTTATCAAATGGAACAAACACATCTGGCTCTGAAACAAAAGTAGGGTTATTAATACATATTAGAGAATGTCAATTTCGCTAACTTTAAAAGATATGACGAAGAAATTTCACGACTTCACCGCGAATTAGAGGCCAGAGGAGGTCCATCGCGTCCACCTGCCATGGGTGGTCCGCCACAACATGCTGCTCCCTCTCAAGCACCACCAGCTATCGGTCATGGTCCAAGTAACCTTTTTGGAGGTATAATGGCCGGTCAAGCTTCTCAAGGAGGTCCAGGTCTTGCTCCTCCGCCACAACAACAAGATGCGCAAGGTCCACTACCACCACACGCTATGCCACAACCACAACCAACCCTTCAAGGACCTCCACCAAGTCAACAAGGCCCTTTCCAAGGTGGTTATCCTCCACAAGGCCCACCACAAAATGGTCCATATGGTGCTCAACCTCCTCAATCAACCGCTTCTCCTGGTCCTGGCAAAGGTGGCCCTCGTCAAAACCGTGGCCCTGGTGGCCCAGCGACTCCTCAAATGCCACAACAATTACCATACAATAATGATCCTAGACAATCACCACAAGTTGGTCACCCTTTATCCGGTATCCCTCGGGGACCTCAATACCCTGTAGGTAACGTGGGAAACGCTTTGGCAGAATTGGACCTTGAACGCCTACCACCACAATATAAGAAAGTAGAACCCGATTGGTTCGCAATTTTCAACCCAGACGTTCCAAAGATTCTTGACGTTGATCTTGTTCATACTCTCATTCACGAATCTGTTGTTTGTTGTGTTCGTTTCAGTCATGATGGAAAATTCGTCGCCACTGGTTGCAATAGATCTGCCCAAATCTTTGATGTTATCACCGGAACTAAAGTTTGTGTCCTCCAAGATGACTCTGTTGATGCTGTTGGAGATCTCTACATTAGAAGCGTGTGCTTTAGTCCTGATGGAAGATATCTCGCTACTGGTGCTGAGGATAAATTGATCCGAGTACGTTCTTCCCTTCTTACAATCTTTCACGTGCTAATTATAATCAGGTCTGGGATATCGCTACACGAACAATTAGAAACACTTTCTCGGGACATGAACAAGATATTTATTCATTAGATTTCGCTCGTGATGGTCGTACTATTGCTTCTGGAAGTGGTGATCGTACTGTTCGTCTTTGGGATATTGAGGCTAGTCAAAACATTTTGACTCTTAGCATTGAAGATGGTGTTACCACTGTCGCTATTTCACCCGATACCAAGTATGTCGCTGCTGGTTCGCTTGATAAGAGCGTTCGCGTTTGGGATGCTGCTACTGGATACTTGGTTGAAAGACTTGAAGGTCCAGATGGTCACAAGGACAGTGTTTATTCTGTTGCATTTGCACCAAATGGAAAAGATCTTGTTTCGGGAAGTTTGGATAAGACTATTAAGATGTGGGAGCTTGTTGCACCAAGAGGTGGTCACCCAAACACAGGTCCAAAGGGTGGAAGGTGTTTACGTACATTTGAAGGCCACAAGGTGAGAATTTTTCCATCTTCATACCTGATATTCATACTAATCAAATTAATAGGACTTTGTTCTTTCAGTTGCTCTCACTCCAGATGGAGCTTGGGTTCTCTCCGGATCAAAAGATAGGGGTGTTCAGTTCTGGGATCCAAGAACTGGTAACACTCAACTTATGTTACAGGGTCATAAGAATTCTGTTATTTCAGTGGCACCAAGTCCTTCAGGAGGTTCTTTCGCTACTGGTTCGGGTGATATGAGAGCGAGAATTTGGAGTTATAAGAACATCTAATAGATTGTGGACGAGAATTTATGAAAAGCAAAGAAATTAAGAAAATGAAAATAATTGAGTTCTATTGAAACGAAAGGCAAAAAAAAAAAAAAAACAAAGATGCAGTGTTCTTTTGAAGAAACTCTGCTCTGTATATTCCGACAAAGCACTACGAGGCAAGGCAATCAATGGCGTATTCGGTATATTATATTCAAAGGATAGGAATTGAGTCAATAGGAAAGAAACTATGTATGTGAGAATTGATTAAAGAAAGATAAATCTATGGAAAAATCTGTTAGGGACAGTAACAATAAAAAGGAGAATAGCATAATAATGTTACGAGGTTTGCCGTCTAGATCACGTGGAAGTGCTCTAGGCTCTCGAAGTAGGTTTATAACTAGGCGTCAAGCAGGGACTTAAAGTAATGACAATAATGATATGCAATTCGTAACTAATAGTAGAGTATACTAAATGATTGATCTTGAGCACGAAGCTCTATACAAAGGGAATCCATCTTGATTATATAGACCTTCATGCCTATGGCTAGTCAGGACCGCGCAGCGGTCCTGGACAGCCAGCGTTCCTCAGCGGTCCATAACGTGACTTTAATCACGTTACCTTGGTTTAGTCATGTGACGCGGCATAGAAGATAGCCGTTGTAACAAATAAAAATAACAATCAATTTTATAATCTCGAGATGATTAAATATTTTTGATCAATTAAGTCTAGTATTTTATTTTTAGAATTTCTTTTTTTTTAAATTATTGAAAATTATAATTTTTTATTTCTTTGATTTTTTTTTTAAATAAGTTTTATATATATAATAAATTTGTTACGAGGTTTGCCGTCTAGATCACGTGGAAGTGCTCTAGGTGTCACACTCAAGAATACTGGGTAAAGTATCTTGTATTAGAAAATACTAAGCTAAGGAGAAAAGAAGAAGGAAAACAAGAGTAGAGAGTTTTCCTATGATTAAATACAAACGGGGCATGCCACGTGACCCGGAGGTGTGAGGCGTCACACTACCCCCCTTCTCAAACGTCAAGACTGTCCTCAGGCTTGAGCCATACGTTTCCGCTGAAGCAGGGTCTAGTTCTCCTCGTTGTCGTCCAATCGATCTTCCGGAACCTTATCTTCCAATGCGCATTCTAACCAGTAATTAAGATTCTTCGGTGGCCCGGGTAAGTCAGGGTACTCGTTGTGAAAAGCTTTTAGTGCTAGCGGTGAGTTTTTAAGATCGGTAGGTGAGTATTCATCGATGTCGGTATCGAAACCACGCCATTTAACCCTGTAGCGGAGCAGTCCGTAAACTTTGCGGACTGAAAGTATTTTTTCGACTTCCCATTCCAAGTTGCCATCGATCTCTTCAGGTATAGGTGGTGCGTGAACTTGTCCAGGCAAAGGATCTTCTGCGGCTTTGCGGAGCTTCTCAGGATTAAAGTACGGGTGTACTTTGATCTCTGCAGGCAATTCTAGCTTGAATGCGTTTCCGCGTCTCTCTAGGATCCTATAGGGGCCGCTCATCTGGTCTCCAAGTTTGCGACTAGGCCGATTAGTCCTCCAGGACTTAGTACTTACATATACCATATCCCCGACATCGAAATCAACTTCGCGACGTCGTTTATTAGCTTGCATTCTTTGACGTTCCTGTGCGACCAGCATATTAGAGCTAGCGATTTTCCAAGCGTTATATAGACGCTCGGTCCACGCTTGAGCCTCCCTTCGATTCCACTTAGCGGCGGCTGGTGTTCTGGCGGGTATTTCCTTCCAATCGAAGCTGGTGCGGGGTTCGAAACCTAAAATCGTGAAGAATGGGGTTTGTCCAATCGATTCTTGTATCAAGGTAGCTTGAGCGAAATCCATCATAGGTATCAGCTCGTCCCAGTTGTCTTGGTAGAAATTTACGAAGGGGCGTAGGCGTTGATCGATGTATTGATTCATATTTTCTGTTTGACCGTCTGTTTGGGGGTGATCTGCCGTCGATAGCTTCATTTTGATACCTAAGATCGAACATACCTCCATCCAAAAGTCCGACACGAATTGTGGGCCGCGATCTGAAACGATACTATCAGGTGGTCCGTAATAAGAGTAAATTCGTTCCAAAAACATTCGAGCGAGATCTCTAGCATCTGCAGTTTGGAAGCACGGAATGGTTGTCGATTTCTTGCTCAATCGACACATGAATACCAGGATTGCATTGTGACCGTTTTTTGACTTCGGAAAGCTCTTGAAATCCATCGTTAGATGCTGCCAGGGTCTTTCAGGGACAGGGAGCGGTTGAAGCAAGCCGGGAGTCTTGTCACGGGGTATATGAGCACGTCGGCATATGCTGCAATTGTGAATATATCTTTCAACATCCTGAGGCAATCCTTTCCAATAATACCGTTGTATCAATAGTTCTGTCGTTTTACGAATACCAGGGTGTCCCATAGAAACTTGTTCATGAGCTTCTTTGATCAAGAGTGTTCGTAATGGTCTATCAACAACCATAGCGTTTGGTACTACTAGCTTACCAGATCGAAGCAATAAGCCATCAACCAACGTCCATTTCCCGTTCGCTTCTGTTCGTGCCAAGGTGCGTTGTTCTCCTAGTTCTGTTGCAGTACGATTAGCCTGCAAAACCTGTAGCATCTGTCCTAGGCCAGGATCGATATCTTCCACAAGAGGCGCTAATACTTCTGCTCGCACTTCGGGGGAGAGCATCGTTGGCTTTAGGAGAGTACCGAGGCGATTGGCCTCCATCCGCTCTTTTTGGCTCTGTATATCGCCGTCGCGCCGGGTTAGGGCGTCAGCTTGTCCATTTGCTTTTCCAGTACGATATTCCAACTGGAAGTTGAATTGAGAAAGGTATTCTGCCCATCGTGCTTGGCGTGCTGTCAACTTTTTAGTTCGCATAAAGATCTCCAGAGATTGATGATCAGAATAGACCTGGACGGGATTTTCAACGCTTTGGAGCTCCACTCGCCACTGCTGAAATGCTTGCAGGATAGCCAGCATTTCTTTATCATGGATCTCGTAATTACATTCTGCGGGATTCATAGTCTTAGAGAAGAACGCCAACGGATGCCATTCCTTTGTCGCCGGATCCAATTGGGAGAGAATGCCACCTGTCACCCCGTCGGAAGAGTCCGTCTCTACCTTAGTGAGGCGGTCTGGATGAAAGTAATGCAGGACCGGAGCTTCTGTTACAGCTTGTCGCAGTGTTTCGAAGGCTTTCTGGCAGTCCGGATCCCAATCGAAGGTTCGTCCCTTCTGCGTGAGCTTATCTAGAGGGCGTGCGATTCGTCCATAGTTTTTGATAAATTTGCGATAGAAACCACAAAATCCTAGGAAACCTCGTACTCCTTTGACTGTCGTAGGCCTTTTCCAGGTCAGTATATCTTTGATCTTTTCAGGGTCAACTTCCAAGCCTTTTGTCGATACATAGAATCCCAAATACTTGATTCGTGACACCGAGAAATCGCATTTTTTGATGTCCACAGACAGGCCGGCCTCTTTCAATTTGGTTAATACCCATCTGACTTGGGCAGTATGTTCTGATGGATCTGTAGAGTAGATAATGATATCATCCAGGTACGCGGTACAGAAGTTTCCCAGGTTCTCCATCAAAAGATTATTGATGAACCGTTGATAAGTCCCGGGTCCTCCTGACAATCCGAAAGGCAAAACTAGCGATTTGAATTGTCCAAAGCAAGTTTGGAACGCAGTGAGTTCCTCTGAATCGGGATGCATTCGAATAGCATTGAAGGCAGCGCGTAGATCGAGTTTCGTGAAGATTTTGGCTTTGGACATTTGTGAGAGGATCTCGTCAATCCTTGGAAGCGGATAGCCATCTTTAGCTGAGATTTCGTTTAATTTCCGATAGTCTACACATAACCTCAGATCCCCATTAGCCTTTTTGACGAAGAGGATAGGTGCAGCAAACGAAGCGTTACTAGGAGCGATCCATCCCCGATTCAAGTTTTCATCGATGAACTTCTTTAAAGCTTGTAATTCCTGGGTCGTTTGTCGATATAATGGAGACAATGTCAAGTTGTTGGGTTGTGTCAATCTAATTTTATGGTCGCTATTCCGATGAGGGGGTAGAGCATTTGCCTTTTTCTTGGAGAAGAGATCAATGAGATCATGATATTCTTTAGGGATAGTTCGTTGCAGCGTTTCCAGTTCCGTTTCTTCTGGGCGATCTTCTACAGAGTGCTCCCTTTGGTATAGGATCTGATCGATTTCCCAACTTGTGGCTGTAAAGCATTGATTCTTCCGGTTCCGGGTGTTCATTCGGTATCCGATAGCATTGATCAATGCTATCCGATGAGGTGTAGTTCCTTCGGGCGTTGGTCCTTTCATCGATCGTGATGGTTCCTTATCCAATGAATTCATGAGTTCTCCGGGCCATAGGATCTTCGATCTGGCTACGTCCAACAATACCTTTTGTTGTGCTAACCACTCTCTTCCAATGATGAGATCACAAGCTAATTCTTCTATAACATATAGATAAACATTAGGGAACTTGCGATGACCGATGGTGAGGGTTGTTTTCAAACGTTGAGTGATAGGATTAGCCTTTTGTTGATTATAACCATAGACAATACGAGGTTTAATAGGTTCGAGGGGGAGGTTTGTTCTTTCAGCGATATCAAAGGCGAGTTTTTTATTCACGTAAATTTTACCGCTTGCTCCAGTGTCAGGTAAAAAGAAAGCAGAGATGGTTATCCCGTTTTTTTCTATAGTACATGGGAATTCAAAGTTTCTCTTTTTCTTCTGACATAGATCGATATCGAGTTTCCCGATCTGTAGAGCCCTTAAGGAGGAGTCTTCCCTTAAGGGGTTTCTTTTCCCGATTCATTCGATTCGTCGACATCGATCACTTGTACCTTGTTGGGACAATCGCGGGCTAAATGTCCTGGCAGATGGCAGCGGAAGCAGGCACCAGCACGACTAAGCGCTTGCCGAGCAGGATCGTCATAGACCGGGCGATTCTTAACAGGGGTTTTGTTGACGGGGAGCACAGCCGAGTTTTCGAACTTCATCTGTATTTTGGGGGTGGAAGAGGGGGAAGGGATAGTGGTCCCTCTGTAAATGCCTTTGCGGGTTCCCATATACGATTTGGCAGGCTTTAGCTGCTGCAAAAGATAATCGAATTTTTGGCAGTCCTTTACATATTCAGTCAAAGTAGTTGCATGGGAGGTGATCATCTTATCGTTGAGTTCGTTGCTCAACTTGTAGGTCAGATCTTCCAGTAATTGGTCCTGGTCGGTGATTTCAGCAGTTGACGCATACAATTGGAACTCGGCATAGAACTCAGGGAACGGCCGATCTCTTTGGTATAAAGCATTATACTTGCGTCGGGCGTCCTGTTTCTTGTTGGGGTCCCCGTAGATATCTTCCAAAGTAGCAAAGACTTCTTCGACGCTAGTGTAAGGGTTCAAAGCATCAGTACGGTAACGAGCTCGTACCTGCTCAGCAGGAGGTCCCTTCAGGCGACTGTGTACATACGCCAATTGTGCGACGGGGTCGGAGTTTCCAGAAGCGCGAATCTTGTTCATCATTTTATCTTTCCATTGTTCCCAAGAAATGCCGGTGGAGGAGCTCTCAAAGAACTCAGGGTCTGGGATCTTGAAGGCGGGTTGGGGCGACACCGTTGACTGGGCTTTACGAAGGTCAACGATCTCTGCCTCGAGGCTGGTGATCCGATTTTCGTACTCAGCCTCGTTCTGTTCTGCTCCTAGAAGGCTCTGCGATATCTCTATGTTCTGAGCAGCTAAACGATCGCGTTGTCTTTTGATCGAGGCTATCTCCTTTTGATAACGTTGTTGGTCTATGTATACCTCGTCGGACCACCTTGTTATCTCGTTGCTAATGGATAGCAAGTCCGCCGGGAGATATCGTTCAAAGTTTTCAGCAACGCTTCCAAACAAGAAATTATAGGTTTCTGCAGCCATATCTGGCAAGAGGCCCTGATCGACTGCATCAAGTGCACTCAGGAGTCTGCGTTCTCTTCTTTTGCCTTGACTGACGGATTCAGGGAGATCGGGAACAATGTTGTGTTCTCTCTCCTGTTCTTCGTGAGGGGTTGGGGATTTCTGAGTTGTCATTTCGAGATCAATTCTATGTTTGTTTCTTTCGGTCCAGGATTCGAGTGTGATAATCAATTACGATTTAATCGATACGTAAATTTCAGGGCTTGTAGATTCGTAGGTTCGTAGGTTCGTAGGTTCGTAGGTTCGTAGGTTCGTAGGTTCGTAGGTTCGTAGGTTCGTAGTCTATACGCAATTATTTTTACTTCCCAGCGTACGGGAAAGAGTGTAAGATGAGCTTAGTATTATGTCACACTCAAGAATACTGGGTAAAGTATCTTGTATTAGAAAATACTAAGCTAAGGAGAAAAGAAGAAGGAAAACAAGAGTAGAGAGTTTTCCTATGATTAAATACAAACGGGGCATGCCACGTGACCCGGAGGTGTGAGGCGTCACACTAGGTGTCACGATTTATCAATTCACGTGATCTCGAGGACCTCGAGGACCTTGAGGACCTTTTGGACCTTAGGGTCTCAGAGGTCCTCAAAAGATGATATAGGGTATATAAACATTCATTTAGTCTCGTAGTTAAGGAGCTTCGTGCTCAACTTAGTTATCAATTAGTTTACCTACATTCTACTTGATCTAGTAACGACTTCACTTCCAAGTGAAGACCAGTGATAAAGCCTTTAACCCCACAACTACCAACCAGACGAAACCCTTAGGGCAGCCGGCTGCCTCCCAGTAACAGTATCGTTACACTAGGGCTTCTTCGAAGTGGGCTTTATAACTAGGCGGTCAAGCAGGGACTTAAGTAATGACCAAATAATTGATATGCAATTCGGTAACTAATAGTAGGA